AGTAGTAAGAAACAAACCCAAATTACAGCTCTGAATGAGCGGTTCCGAGTTAAAAAGTTAAATCGACAAGCAGTCACATTGGGTGCTTTTTAATTAGTAACACCTTCGCAATAACATAAAACACCAAACATTTGTATCCCTTTGGGAGCCAATGACTACGATAGCAATTAACAGAACTAAATGAGTCAGTCAAAAAAAATTATGACACTTAAAAGGAAAATGTCTGTGCAGAAGATGTGTAGATGTTACACATCGCTTGTCAATGGGCTTTTGTTATGAGACCAATAAATTCGCAACATTGTTGCAGACCCACACTTCCCCAGACTTTCAGTGAGCGCTGTAATGCTTGATGTGTAACGGTTTCACATCAAAGAATTTGTGACTCAGTAGAGAGTAAATACCATGATAACCATGATAATATTACTGATAAACAAACCTCGCTCTTCAAATTCTTTGACTACATCTGTCATCCTATCCTGGTAATACGATTCCCCTCGCTCGATTATCTTAATGTCCAAACAGTCGTAGATCTTCTGAAATTCTGTGAAAGGGAGAGAGAATGATAAACTTAAAGGAAGAGAGTCACACTCTTACTTATACCAATAAGCTACGTGGCTTAAAACAAACTTGTGTGCATAAAGTGATACTGAGTCATCAGTTAATAACACTGGGGTAAAGCCCCCCCCCACCCGACCCCACACCCAGCTGCTCACCCATCCTGGATACGTCGCAAATGAGGTTCCAGGCCTTGATGAACTCCGGCTCCTTGCTCTGCAGCCTCACCACACACTGATAAGCCTTCTTCTTGAATTCCTCATCCTCGTCGAATCGCTTCTTGGATTCCTGCGTGCAGGACAGGGGAATTAAAAACAAACAAACAAACAATATCACTATGGGTTCAACTCCAGGTCTCCCAGTAACACCCTGAACCCCTGTGGCTCTTCCTCTATGCCAACACTAACTACCAATATATCCCAGCAAATATACACTGTTCACCAAAACACACTGCCGCTCACTACTCACTATCGCCCCCTAGTGATTACATGAATAACTCACGGAATTAGTTCATTCTGAATATAGCCAGCACGGATTACGTTTCCGTACTTAGCTGGCCAGGGTTGGGTGGGGGGTGGTGTTCAGGATAAAGGCCACTCACTTTGTAGAAGGCCTGGAGGTCCCCGATGGGGGGGGACACCGTGAGGTAATTGGGGAACTTGTCCTGCAGGTGTGCGATGAGCATGCCGAACTGGGTCCCCCAGTCACCCACGTGGTTCAACCTGACACACAAAACAAACCATGTGACAATGAGCCCTTCTGTACACGCCTAGGCAGGAGTTTCACATCTGCTCCCAGCTTTTAGAGCTAACAATGGTTAAGGGACTGCACGTCTGAGGTTGTTGGTTCGAATCCTGGGGGCTCCTGTCATGCCCTCAGCTAAGATCCTGAACCTCAGTTTATTTAACGAAGTGTCCAGTGGCATAAGCCTATAAACTGCACAAATCAATACAGGCAGTCCCCGAGATAAAAACGTCTGAATTACGGACAACTTGCTATTACGAATGGAATACCATAAAGTCTATTATATTGAAAATTTGGGTTAAACACAATGGTTCGTGATAAGCACACAGAGGACTTTCTGATGCTCGTGAAAAAATAGCACAGCTTCAGCAGCTTGCCGACTTAAGGTACAATAATTAATGTAGTTACCTTCATTACTGTACAATAATAATTATTATTATCCAACAATTTTCTGAAACCGCTTCAGGGTCATGGGGGGTCCAAAACCTATCCCAAAGTCTACTGCCGCAAGGCAGGGAATAACCCTGGATGGGGCGCCAACCCATCGCAGGGCACATTCACACACCATTCACTCACCCACGCACACCTACCGTGGTGTAGGTGTGAGTGAATTTGGCAACTCCAATTAATCTCAGTATGTTTTTGAGCTGTGGACGGAAACCGGAGTACCCGGAGGAAACCCCACTATGACACAGGGAGAACGTGCAAACTCCATACACATGGAGCTGGGCCGGAGGCTTCTGGTCCCAGATGCGTGAGGCAACAGTGCTAACCACTGCACACTGCTAACAACTGCACACTGCTAACCACTGCGCACTGCTAACCACTGCGCACTGCTAACCACTGCGCACTGCTAACCACTGCGCACTGCTAACAACTGCGCACTGCTAACAACTGCGCAGCCTTTTATTATTATGCACTGTATTATTTTTCCAACCCATCGACAAATATGACTTAAAGATTTACTTATGGAGCCGATCTCGTGCATAACCCAGGGACTGCCTGTACTTAAGATGAAATTCAATGAGCCACTTTAATACTAGATAAACCGATCAAAAACATCAAATCTTTCTCATGTCTCTGTTCACAGTGTACTCCTCATAACAATATATTCTGGACCCTAAAAGTCATTTAAAGAGACCAACCAGTCTCACAAAGGATGTCATAGATCTTGCAGTCATATTGGGTATGACTTTGGGTAGACGGGAGCCAATCCTGACATACTGACCTCAAAACATCATACCCCAGGAACTCAAAGAGCCGACACATGCTGTCTCCAATGATGGTGGAGCGAAGGTGACCGACGTGCATCTCTTTAGCTATGTTGGGTGACGAGAAGTCCACCACCACCTAGGAACAGCACCCAAGGAGTCTTCCATCCATTAACCAAATCACATTGATCAGTAGTTGGTAACAGTTAAAGGAGGTTTACAGTACCCTCTTCCTGGACTGCAGCGGCGGAGGCTGGACGCCATTGATCAGCAGGTTTGTCAATAACTTTGACACAAAGGGCTTCTTGAGGTGAACGTTGATGAATCCTTCAATTAAAATGCATTTTCAGAATATTTTTTTAACCTTCCACTGGGCACAATTCCACAGTCAAGGTTCATATTTCTCTTAAGACTCCATACAAGTATCTATACAATTATAAGCAACAGATTAAAACAAACCTGGTCCAGCAATCTCTGTCTTCTGGATCATTTCATTGTCTGGAATGTTTTGAACAATTCTCTCGGCGATCTCCCTCGGGCTGACCTTCAGTCCCCTGGACTTCATCATCTGTACCAAGGCATCTCTGTTAACACCCATCCCAATCTTTCAAGCCAATCTTAATGTGTAAATATATATAGAATTGAGTTTATAAAAACAAGCAAATTCACAATAGATTTGGTAAGCAACATGTGGCCATATAAGATGGGCCATAATTAGCCAATGGTACGTTTTGGATCTGTCAGTGACAGAGGAGGGGGGCGCTCCAGCCAATCAGCTTTCAGTTGTGGTCATTGCCCCTGTGACCCCACCCATGTCACATTCCTCCAGCCCCTCTCCTAGCCCCGCCCACTCTGACCTGAGCCATAGCCATGGCACTGTTACACTGGTAATCCCCAAATTTGGCCTGCTGATTGGGTGTGACAGACAGCGGAGGGCTCTCCAGGTCAGGGTAGGCAGCTTGGATGGCGTCCCCAAAGATCTCCTGCAGACGCTGGTTGATGTTGGTCATGTTTTTGCTGCACTGGCTCCTCTCCTCCCGTAGGCTCTGCCCAATGTAACACACAGGTCAACCCATCATAACACTGTTCACACACCTCCCCAACACACCCTGATTCACTACCCACTTACAGAGCTAGATATTTAAATATGAGCATAAACATCTACAGCTGTGAATCAGTTTGTTACAGGCGGGTGCTTAAATGTATTAGGCTGAGCAGTGAGATTAAAGATGGAAGAATCATGCACTTTTTCCATCTAAACCCCAAACGATTCTAGATGGGGGGGGGGGGGGTCAGTAGTGTCAGCCTGAGTGACAGCAAAGTCACGTGATCGCCACACGTCTCCCCCTCTAAGGGTCGAATGCCTGCGCATCCTGCCGTGAACAATGGTTTCGTTTTTCGGGGCGTCGGGAAAGCAGGTGAAGGTCTCCTACTCTCTTGAGGATATTCAGGCGATACTTCAGCTTCGCGTTTTCCTCCCTCAGCTCATCAAGCTGCGACGAGGTGACCAGAGCCTCCGGGTTCTTCAGTTTCTCTATTTCGTCCGACAGACATTTTATTTCCCTTTCCTGGGAAAACACGGACGTTGTATATAAAATCTAAAACTAGCTCACGGTCGTATAAGTACTTGCAAACTTCCATGCATAATGTTTGAATAGCCTACAGTCAGTCTATCAGCTTCTGCACGTAACTTACGCTTTAAAGGGAATAGGACATACATATTTCAGTACCATTTGTTTATGGATGAACAATTTACTGTAAATAAAAAGACAACTTTCCAGTAAAGTTGCCTGTACAAAATCCTCATTAATATACATGTCTGTGTCCGCAAAGGCTATGAATATCGAATAATTTTCGCCAACTGAGATTAGTTTTACTGGCGACATCTTAACTTTAGAGGAAGAATGCGAGGGGACTGAGGGATTTTAACGCGTTGCATCAGCACATAGAAACACATGGAGCAGCAAGGCGTCGGGCACACGGAGCCGGCCCAGCTTTATCATCACCGGTAAAAATAAACCTACCTGTCTCTGGATCCGAGACGTGTACTCAGCCACCGGGTCTCCCATTTTCCTCTAAAATAACCGCACTTAGTTCTGCCACAAAGTGTAAAGAAGCGTCACCTGACCAGCCGCTTTACTTTCTCTTTCCCCTGAACCGGCCGTCAAGGAAACAGGAATAAAGAGGCGCAACCCGCACCTGCTGCCTCACTGATTATTTGTACCGCGCCCCCTGGAGGCAGGAGTACAAAATGTGTCACTGTACAAAATATGCTGGCTTCAAATGTACAATTCAAGAAAGATGTTTTACATTAAATTGTTTTGATTGCATTTAAATTAATTAATGAATTAATTAAATTATCGAATTATAATTGGCCACAGAATTGTAATGTCAAAGTCTGTGCCGATCCATGAGGGATGATCCGAGCCACAAGTCACCTTTACAATGAATCACGCAGGGCGCAATAAATGACGACACTTGCACACCAGATTGCGTTGAAGAAAAACTATGTATTTGTTGCGAAACTAGAAAAAAAAGTTATTGTGCTGATGAAGTATTTACAATGCTGGTCGACATAATCAGTATTAAAATTCACAGTTTTCAGAAGTTTCATACGGGAAAATAAACAGTAACACCCTATTCACAAAGTGCGGCGAAAAAAAGAAAGTGTATGTTACAGAAAAAAGAAAAATCACAATTCTAATTTGGTAGATTAAAAATCAAACAAAACGTGACTTGCCTTAACAAAACAAACATTAATTAAAATCCTACACGAAAACAAATTATCAGACACCAGGGGGGATTACATTGGTTTAACTGAATCCATGGCGTGTAATTTCTTAGTATGTATCTCTGCATCTTAACAGCCTAGTGTATTTCAGCATTAAATTGTGTGTAAAAAGCACCTAGTCAGTCAATTGCATATTTCCAAAAATCCGATTTAATCCAAACACTGAATATCTTAACATAAAACTTCCTTTATAAATTCCAGTTCCAGCACCAACTGAATAAAAAAAATAATCATTTTGCCAAAAGAACAGGTCAGATCTAAACAGACATAAACAGTGTGTTCTGCTGACGAGCGAAATAAGCGTTACTTGTATACCGCTCACTTTTCTGTTCTGCAAAACTAACCAGTTTGTCCTCTTAACATGCGCAAAATACATTGCCAGCAATTTCTCATGCCGAGGGAATGTTTGCGGTTAATTTGGTAATCGGTTTAATATGATAAAGCAGGATAAATTCTTTCATATTAATCACTTAAAGCTGGTGCGAAGGTGTCTTAGTCAATCGCATTCAAGACACATTTTATAAACTCGATCCTGGAAATGATGATGAACAAAAACTGAAGAAACAACTTCCTCCCCCTGCCCCCCGAACACTAACAGGCGTCTAAGGAAAACAACCCGATGTTGAAATCATGGGTAAAATAGCGATTACTATGGAGCCAACATCTCATTCACGACTTTTAAGTTTACCTTCATCAAAAACATTTTACACAACGGAGACTCGATACAGGAGACATACGGAGATTTACAGCAGGACCTTTAAACCTAAAATGGCCAGTATTTTAAGGACGAAATATGTAGTACATAAATCCAATTTCAAAAATAAAATAGAAACTTAACAATGGTTTCTTTGTGCATTTTTCCATTGGATCGGGAATCTTTACACTTCGAAATGCCTCGATTTTCCAGGTGCCAGCGCACGAGCCTTTAAGGTAAACAGCAGTTTCTGCACTGGATCCGTGCAAGACTCAAATCATGGGGCTTTTTAAAGGTAACAGTAAAAGACAATATACTGTGTTTGTCTATTTTGCATTTGAATCATATGGATTTATAACATCGGCACTGGTTCTATGACATCTTTCAGCGTTGTTATAATCATTCTGGAAATGTACAACCCATGTCAGTTTTTATTGATGTAAATCACCATAGAGACAGACGGCCACAGAAAGTCACTTAGAAACATAAAATGGGACACTGACAGCAAGATAATCAGCGTATTGTTAAAGGTGTACCTGTATTCTTAGTAAACATACTTGAAATGGGCCACATATATACACGAACACATTGACGGATGTCCTGTAGGTGTCGCTGCAAGAGTACAGACACACCCTACTTGGGAATAATGGGGGGAAAAAACAGACCCGGCGTTAGTCAATCAGCTACGAGAACATGGACGTAGGAAACCAGTTTCCTAGGAACGGTGCCAGGAGACAAACACACGTCTGTGACAGAGGTTTAAAGAACGTGACGTGAACTGTGTTCCACACCAAGTCTTAATACCTGTGTACACAAACTTACATCTGCTGAACTCCAGTAAAATGTGCATTAGGCATGGAGTTCTTTCAAAACACTCCCGTCATGAACCGACCAGCAATAGTCTTTCTGGGTACTTTAACAACTTTAAATCAGTTTAATGGAAAACCAAAGGTAGGTCACAAACAGTATTAGAAATGTGCTGTTGTTTCCGGATCCTATAAAAAATAAAATTATAAAATATATATATATATACCAGTGAATCCTAATCATTCTCGTGCGTTAGAATTAAGTGCATTGGCTAAAATACTCGACCGCTGGTTATACACTTGTTTGAAGTCTACCAATGAAATGTTTCCACCATTATCCGCTTACAAAAAAAATACAAAATTGAGACACCAGGAAGATTCATTACATGAGCTTGTGACTGTCATGCATTATTAAATGTTTATCCATCGTTCCCCGTAGTTCAGACGTCCTAATTTAGCGTTTCAGTTTCAATCCCTGGCCCTTGATCCAGTTACATATTAAAATCATCAGAAACGCCGCCGATTATACGACACGGTAAAACATAAGTGCAACACGTTTAGCTAAGTCTACACATTGTTGTGTTTGTGAGGCTGTTGAGAGCTCTAATATCCAGATCCATTTTTTTTACACTTGTCAAATTCACTTTGTGAGGACATATTATCTCGTTATCCGTGTCTTTCCTGAAAACACTGTTCTTCTCAGACTCCTTGGAAACCCTCGATCGTTGGGTTTATTACGTAGCCTATTAGATTTGGACTCCAGGGACCGCACTACAGTAACCTGAATCCTCATCGATCTCATAGCAAGAGGATCCATAGTGTCTAGTTTCCAGTTTTTGGTGTAACATTTTCTGGTTAACTCATTACACTTCATTCAAAAATAATATGCGGGTATTTAAATAGCTAAATATTCCTGGTACAGGGCAAATATTCCCTAAAAATATTGAATCACTTAAACAGATTCAAGATTCAGATCCAAAATAAGGTTTAGATTATATTTCAGGAATGACCTTGTGCATGACACAGAGTTTCGTTCTTTCACGGTTATAATTTACTTGCCCGAGTGCGTGAAGAATGTGGAGAAACGGACGTTTTCCGGATTACATCGGAGCCACTATTTCCAAGCTAGCTTTTAAAGTGCACGAGCGTCTCTATGTGTTACCTGAGAGTTAGCCACGCTAAGTGCTGCGCCTCCGTAATGCTACCAGCCCGACCGCGTGCACCGGTGCTGTTCCGGGGAGTTGTCTCTCTCGGCCGGCTAGTCCCCCCCCCTCCCCAACCCGATCCCCAAATGACTCCACGCAGAGGAGTTCCAAAGCCTGGTCCTCCGCGTGCCAAAAGTACCTTGTACGTTCGTATTCACATCTTCGAAGGAAGAGTTTCCTTCCTGTTAAAAACAGCAACAGTTCGTACTTCCAATTCAAATCACTGCCTGTGAATATGCTAATACATAATATACCTAAAATAATACATTAATCAGTAACAGAAAAATAATGCTACAATGAGCAAAAAAAAAGGGTTCCAGTTGCTATCAATGACAAAACTATACAGATTATCAACTAAAAAAATCTACAGCCCAGTGTTTAAAAATGTGACGTTTTCCATATTTTTTTTTTTTTTAAACATTTCTTCATAACACCACCAGAAGTCAGTCTCATCTCCTTGGAAACAGCAGTTCAGACTTCAGAATACTTAAGACGTTCTAGACGTCGTCCGCCGGGAGATCAGGGATGTGGATCTTCGCTCGAGTGAAGAAAGCCATCTTCTCTCTTCATGACAGATTCACAGAGAGAATATGGTATCACAAGGCGGAACAGAGACGCCGGTGGCACTAATAGGCGCGCGACGGCAGTGTCAGGCTTTTGAAAGGCTTGTGGACCAGATCATAGGAAAGGACAAGTAGACACTATGGTTCTGCACACGCTGATACATTAGTGTGTAGAAGTCTCAGGTCACCAAAGAAAATTGTGTAAGGTGCTATTTATATGGCTAGTAGATTCAGGGGTGGTGACGGCCAAATGAAGCTTCATGAACCATTTGCTGTAATTTCTGACCCCACTAGATGGTGCTCTCTGTTCAAAACAGGGCTAAAAGCATGTCCCAAGAGCACCATCTAGTGGGGGAAAAAAATACAGCAAGTGGTTCGTGAAGCTTCATTTGGCCATTATAGGGGCATACCTAGAAATTCTGGGCCCCCTGACAAAATGTCATCTTGAACCCCTGTCTATAAAACTGAACATTTTCAGGAGCCCCCGTCATGTGCCTGGCCCCGGAGTCAGCTTGATTCTCCTGCTGGAGGACATGGGGTGGGATCTCACCCCCTCTCTGACCTACAGTACCTGAAGGACTGTGTCTCAGGCACCTCCTTGCAACTCTGGCTGCGGATCTTGCTGACGTCCTTCACAGCTGTCCGCATCATCCTGTCCACCCTCTGCTCCTGCTGCTGCTCTTCCTGGGTCTGTGGGGAGGAAAACAGGCATGGGCCACTTCTCCTGGGTCCCGCGGGAGAGCAGAACCTCTGGCGCACACACACACGACCTTGGCGGCTCGTCCGCGGTAATTACTGGCTGAACCGTGGTATTTTTAATTGTTGCTTATCCATTTGTTTAAAGGTTAGTGGACGGGGGACTCCGTTCAGGGACCTGAACCAACAACACGTTGGGATTTAAAGCAACCACAGCTTGGTGCCACCTTGTCTATTGACATCAGCATCAGCGAGGGATTGTCATGAGGGCTTTCCTTTCATGCGGTCAGGAAAATCAGTCTCCATTTGCCACTCCGCGGCTTTGGCAGGACATCATGTACAAACACATCCAATAAACCGGATGCGACTGCTGGGTCAGACCGGACTTCAATGACCTGAATAAGTGAATCATTATATGATGGATAGATCTACTGACTGACCACTGATTGGAATTACAAGACTGGATAACAGATGACTTAACGCAGTGATAGCCATATTTAATTATCAGCTTTAAAATCAGTACAGTAGTTGAATCACATTTGTTAGTCATTCAGCAGATAATCTGGACTAGTTGTGAGTATGATCTGTCAAGGTGAGGTTTGGAATCCAGTGGATTAATGCAGAGATGGATGTTCGGTGATACACCGAACGAATGATCCCTCAACAAATAGACAGATGCTCTTGTTAACTATATCATTATATGGCGGATCTACTGACTGACCAATAGAATGATAAACAGACTGAAAAATAGATGACTTAACTGGAGAACTTGCTATAGTCAACCATCAGATAATCTGGACTAGTTGTGGTTTTGAAACTATTGGATAAATGGATGTAAGCATGTACCAATGCATGCATGCATGTATAGATAGCCAGCAGAGACATGCACGCATGCCTGTATGCAAGAATGCCTGGCAGATGGATGGATGGATGGATGGATGGATGGAGATACTCTGAGAAAGAGCGATTCCTTGGTGAACAGATGGACAGATGGAGCTCATTCTCACCTGCTTCTCCACCTGCTTCAGCAGCAGCTGCAGACGCTCATCCTCCTGCACCCAGGCAGGCAGCCGACTGCAGCCACGCATGCGCGCGTCCTCCAGCTGCATGCTCAGCTGCCGCAGCACACGCAGCTCCTGACCCAGGCGGGAGTGGCGGGTCCGAGACGCCTGCAGGTCCAGTTCCAGGTCCAGGGAAGTGCGAAGCAGCCCATCCAAACCCTTCACCGGCAGGGGAGGCTGCATGGATGGATGGATGGACAGATAAGTGAACGGATGGGTAGATGGATGGGTGGATTGAAGGATAAAGGAATGATGGATGGATGGATGGACAGACAGGGACAGAGTGACAGCATAAGTGAATAAACGCATGGATGGATGAAGGCATGGATGGACAGACAGGGACAGAGTGACAACATAAGTGAATGACCGGATGGATGGATGGATGGATGGACAGACAGGGACAGAGCAACAGCATAAGTGAATGACCGGATGGATGGATGAATGCATGGATGGATGGATGGATGGACAGAGTGACAGCATAAGTGAATGACCGGATGGATGGATGGATGAATGCATGGGTAGATGGATGATTGCAACCAGTGCATATACAGATGGGCAAATGAATACATGAATTAATAAACTAACGTGTTGATGGAAAGATAGTGGGGAAAGTAAAGACCTTCGACTGTCCTGTTATAATAAATAAAATTTCCACCGAACTCCTGCTGACTGATGAATTACGCGGCAGCGATCAGCATGTAATCGCACAGGCTGTCGCGGTGCAGGGCGTCCGTGGGATGGCCTACCTTCTTCAGCCGCACACTGCGCCTCTCCGCCGAGTTCCGGACGAAGGGGGACTTCTTGGACAGGGTGGAGCTGTCGCTGTCGCTGCGGTTAATCTGTGCGGGACGGGCGATACCATCACAAATTCAGCAGACGTGTTCTTATTACCGAGACCGGAACGCGATGCATTTTGCCATTTCTCCACACTCCAAATTTACATCATGGCGGCGATTCCGGAAAGAGGAGAGATTTCTGCTTTTCTGCGCCAACACAGAAAAGTAGGTCAGGAACCGCTCGCTAATTGGGTTGAATGGAGGGAATGGAAATTCCTCTAAGTCAGCAGACTGTGCGTGCGGTTCCGTGTGCGAGTGTGTGTGCGCTGCGCTGTACCCACCCTGCAGATGTACTGGCTCTGTGGCCCGGGGGAGAAGGTCTTCGAGCGGATGATCGTGTTCCCCCTCACGAAGGCGGCTTGCCGCGGTACCGCAAGTCGCCGCTCCTTGGGCCGCACCACCGAGGCCGAATTAAACAGACCCTCTGTACTCGTTTCCTTATTAACCTGTTATGTCAAAACACAAACCATCTCTGACCTAAATATCACCCATATCCACGGGTAATGATTATTAACACTGAAGAGATGCTACATGGAGAAGCTATAAGCTATAATCAACGAGTTTAACAGATCAAGCATCCGGATTGTATGTGCTGAAATGTATAACAGCAAAGTTAATGCCGTGTATCCTGCTGTCACTTATCGATTTATATTCCATTTGCATTTATTTAGCAGGGAAATTTTTGCGAAAGCAGGGTGACAGTTCCTGGAGCAATTGAGAGTTAGGGGCCTCGCTCACTGTGCTGACCCTGGGATTTGGACCAATGACCATCCAATCACAGGCCCAGCGTCCTACGATTCTCAGGATGCACAACACAGGACTTGGCTTATACAGTTTTTCTGTATTTACCCGTTCTGTCTTTGCTCCCGCCTGAAACTGGTTTGCCGCCTCCCCCTCTGCCTCCCATTGGCTGGATTCGGGGTATAGCTCCTCCTCTTCCTCCAGCAGCACCTCCTCATCCTGCTCCAGTCCTTCCTCTCCTTCGTCCACATCGCTCGTTTCTGGTTCCTCAAAAACATCGCCTTCCAGGGAGATGCCATGCCTGCATGGTGGACAAGCTCTCAGATTACGAGGTGAAAGCAGCTAGAAATGAGTACGGTGACCCGACAAGGACAAAATACCACAGGATGTTTTGAGAAGCAAAGGGCACACTGACCAGTTTAGCTTCAGCGAGCCCTCAACATTGTTCCAGGTTCCTTCTGTGGTGCTGGGCTCCGTGGCTGAGGGACAGCTCTGGAATATGGGGAGCTTTATTTCAGAAGTTTATTATTGAAACTACTAATTTATTTTAATAATAGCTTTCTCTATGTTCCAGACTATAAGCATTATAGCATTTGTGTCTGGTGTCAATATGGGCCTTGGGCCATTAACTTCCAGAATGAGGTTAGATGGAGTAGATAAATCTTGTGACTTAAAGCTTCGCATTAGAATGGTCTGAGGAGTAGCAGGGGTGAAAAAGTCCCTTCTTACCCTCCCTTCCCCGACGGCAAACTCCGTCTCCTGGTGCTTGGTGTCGATCTCTGCCAGGTAGCTGTAGTTGAGAAGGTTGTACCACTTTGTGGCGAGTTCCCCAGAGCTGCTGATTTCAGCCAAACTTATCTGAGCCCCAGCCTGACAAGAAGTAAAAAGGACACGGTCAACCACGGCTTGGTTAGCTCATGACCGGAAACAGGCCACGCTGACCTTGTTAGCTAGCTCTGGACTAGTTTCTTGAACTGAAGACTATCAAAGATTTTCAGTAGTGTGTTAAGCAGAAGCTGAGACGGGTGCGTTGGGGAGTGTAAAATTCATTAGTCAACTCAGACCGTTACACGTAACATTGAAAGTCGACAGATCGTCTCTATAGAGTCCACGGTGACACACCCTGATGCCACTGACTACCAGATAATTACTAGATACTAGACAGTTTCTCTGGTGGTGGGGGTGGGGGGCAGTTTTGCGTTGCTAAAGGCAGCCAATCAGGGGAGCGGCGCTCACCAGGCACTCCTCCCTGCCGGATGTGTTCATGAAGCAGACGTCAACGCGTAGCGTCTTCTGCCTCAAAGCACCATGGGAGCCCTGCACACTGAACACTTCGTTCAGCTCCGCCGCATCCTGCGGCTGCACCCCCCGGGTGCGGAAGAGGCACCTGGTGGTCTCCGAGCAGGGCAGCACGGCTACGCGGACGTACCTGGGCAGAGGTTTGCGGAATCATCACCCGAGGCACCATGCAGGAGGAGCTTCCATAGGAAACACAACAATAGCAACAGTACTGCACAAATAAAGGGTTAAATGATTCCTTGGATATGAAAAGCCACAGTGTAAGAGAGGAAAACAAACTTGTAACCACTGCTAATTAAGTTGGGAAGCATATATTTTTATGTTGACTGAGCCATCAGTTTTACTCATTAGGTTACAATTATCAGGTAAGGATATCAATAATGGAGCCCTAAGTGTCACTCCACCTGCTGGCCAATTAATAAATATTTCTCATTATATTAAACAGAATTAATTAAGCATGATTCATTGTAATCTGTCACCCCCCCCACACACACACACACACACACACCAGTAACATGAAAGAGGGCCCAAAGCTCACATGTTGCATTCGGCCGGCGGAGCCAGGGCCCCGCAGTTGGCCAGCTGCATGACGGCCACCGTGAAGCTCCGCTCTTTCGCCTCATACCTAAGGCCCAGCCTGACCTGTGCTGAGCCCGGGTGTCCTGCCTCATCGTAGGTGGGCAGCTCGACCAGATGGCCGGGCCTGGGAGAGAGAGAGGAGTGTCATTTAGCGACACACACACACACACAAACACACACACCCTGAGGCAGTCATGCTGGCTCAGGTTCTGCTCCTGTTTACACAAACAACACGCTTAACAACATGCTGGGCCAAGAATGTTCCAGAACCACCTCAGATGTTCTATTGCACAGCATCAGGTTACCATATTCACACATAAATTTAAATAATGAGAATTTCTCTAATGGAAATAAATAGTTGTAAATAATATGGGGTCAATGTTTCTGTTACGACTGTACGGTTTGATCTTTTCGGGGGGGAGCTTTGATATGAATGAGTCTGGCTAATTCAGCCCCGCCCTCCCTCCCCCCCCTCCGCTGACGTACCTCTTCTCGGTTGGCTCGTAAACGCCACTGTCCCCTGCCACCGATTCGTCAGAGACGGCGGACGACACGCCGGCGTTCCTCAGCCCGGCCATGCCCCCCCTTGTCTGCGTAACTGAATCTGAAGATGGAGTAGAAGATGGGGGGTAGGAACACAATGTCCTGTCAGCGTGCTCATGTTGTCGGAGGAGTCGGGTTTCGGGGGGAGGGGTCACATTAACCCGACCCGCCTTCCGGCTGCCTCTGCATCTCTATGCTAAATTATCCACTCATGGGGAACCGGCCATGAGGACGTTGCAGAAGGTGGCTCTCGTCGTCCCATGTGACCGCGGCGGCCATCTTTGGCCACCGTCTTTAAGGCGGCATTGTGAAACTTTATACTCTGCCGGAGCACCTGTTAGTCCCAGGGCTGCGGTTACCTGAAACACTCCAGCTCTGTACTCAGTATAATTATATCACAGACACATTCACAGCATTCAGGAATGTGTCGGACGCAAAAGGCGCCACCAGGATTCCCAGAAGTAAAATGAAAGATAGGAAACCCAGCCAACGATATATGTTAGTTTGTTTACGCTCCACTCAAACTATCAATATAATGTGACAGGTCAAATACTTCGTGTTACATTGTGCATTTGGATGCTCAATGGAAAGAGACTGTGTACGAAACAAATAGATGCTGGTAAAAGGCTAGGCAATGTAAAAGGTCACCTGGTCACATGGGAGAGTAGCCAGGTCACATGGTTCAAAGAGAAAGTAGCCAGATGACACGGTTTGCAAAATGTCTGCTCTACCTTTAGAGGTCTCAGCACCAGCAGCTGCCACGTCCCGCTTGGCCCCGGCGGGGCGCTGGCGCGAAGCGTCCCCATCGTCAGTTCCCAGGGCAAGCTCCGTCAGCCGGCTCTGTAACTCGGTGTCCAGACCGGTCCCAGCTAGGCCCAGGAAGGCGTCCCCAGACAGGAAGCTGGAGTCAGCGACCAGCGGGGAGCAGGGGGGCGACAGCGAGGACAGCGAGGACCGGGGAGAGAGCGAGCCTGACGAGCGCGGCGTCTCCGACAGCCGGAGGGCCTGCAGCCGCTGGGCTCCGCCACCGCCTCCGCCTGCCGCCCCCACCACCTCGTTCTCATGGATGGTGGGGATGGAACTGGATGGTCGGTACCCTCCGGCCACACTGTCCTGCAGAAGAGTGTCCAGCTTCTGCCGGAGGTCTGGGTCCCCCAGCTCGGGCGGGTCCAGGTAGAGGTCAGTCAGGCTGGGTGACGACGACCCCAGGCTGGAGGCAGCCAGAGAGCCCCGACTAGACGTCAAGGAGCCCCGGCTGCTGCCGGAGGAGCAGGAGAGCGTGCTGGCAGACAGGCTGCGGGCAAAGACATGAAGAACGAGACTTCAGCACCAGGGCACTTCATTCCAGCTTCCTATATCTATTTCCGTCTGAGCAGCGAACCCCAGCCCCCCCCCCCCCTTTTGCCTTCCAAAACCTCGACTGCACTTCCCTCAGAAACAGACTAATTAAAGCACCGCGCCTCGTTAGCAACGGCACAGGGGAAATGCAGTCGGGTCTTTGATGTTCATCGTTCGAGAAAACGGGAACATCAAGCATTCAGAATGGAATCAGAAGGCGGGCCAGTATCACCGGTCTGTCTTATTTGAAGTACGTTGACGTATCCGATTGCCCTTTTGATAACTTTCAAAGGAAACACGCCGACTTAGTAGACAAAAACCCATCCCACTTACACTATATTTACATCATCCTATAACTAGGGACGGTGTTGTCCTCCACGTAATGGGAGTCTTGTGAAAGGAGTGCTAAACGTCCATAGATACCGAGACGTGAAGCCATGAACTGTCAAGGTTGCTCAAACAAACACGTCAAAGCAGGCTGGTGGTTTCAGACAGGGAGGAATTTGGGATCTTTGCCAAAACATAATGGGATGGTCTGACCTGGGGCGCCCCTGTGACGTTCGGCTGGACCGGGCTGCACCGCTACAAGGTCAATAAGCACAGGCTGTCTCATGGACACGGCAACATCGAATGACAAAATGGGAGGAATCCAGAACAGCCAAGGGCTGCTCCAGCGCAGCTTGCACGCAATTGACCACAAAAGCCAACATTAGAGCCATCTGAGCAGTCCAAGGCAAGGGGAGACCCTTTAACACGTCTATTACTGGAAGCTCATCGAGCTCACGTTAAATTTGGTGGAACATAGCCTTTCAGCCACTTGCTGAGTAGACCTTCCTCGTGACACGTCCTCTCAACATCAATACCTCCAAGCCAAAAGGATCTCCAGGTTTCCTCTCAACAGACTCTTTCATCACTTGCGTCTACTTATGACCAACCAAGGACAGGCGCCATAGCAACACCCATAGCTATTCCCCAGACATTCTTCACCGTTAGGAGATTTTCAGGCCAACGCCAACAGAACTCACCGACCTCACCTTTTCAGCTGGCTATGTAGGGAAGAGGCAACCCGAACCATTTCTTCCAGCTCTCGGACTAGTTTGTTTCTCCGGGAGTGTAACCGTAACCTGACGGGAAGAACGAGAGAGAAGAGCGAAAGTCATGTGCCGCACTTCAGAGAGACATTATGCACAGGATTCCGCCTGGCTTGTTTACATGTTTACACGGCATCCTGCCCTCAGAGGTGGGATGTAATAACAGAGCTTTTCTTTAGATATTATTATTTTTTTTTTAATGACAGTGAGGCAGAATAGAAAGAGGCATCCTTTGTGGGCAACCTAGATCCCCACTTTCAGGAGGTCGGGTTACAGAAGGCAGGTAGATGCAGGGGGTGCGGAGAACAAGGGCCCTATTTATCAGCGGGGGACCGCCGAGGCCTGACTGGCATCCGCACAAGGGAAACCTGAGCCATGGAAGCAGGTGTCTGCGCAAAGGCAGCGAAGCAAGCAGCCCACCACCGATCCCAGCCCGCCTACGGAAAAAAAGCTGACGTCTCTTCAGGCCAGAGCTCGCCTGCACCAGCCCCGTATCTCATGCTTACATTGTTCTAAGTTGGGGTTCTGACTGATACCAATCAGGGAACAGGTTATTCCTGGGAACATCACAGATTGAAATCCCAAGAGGTCAAGGAAGACAACGAACATCAGACTGCATGCAGCCCTGACACCAGCTATGATCTTTAACCAGCTCAAGCATATTAGACGGCTAATTAAGCAGTTAAAGTGGGTTTTTTTTTGTCTTGTTCAATTCCACTACCTGTTTATATATTCAACCACGAACCATTTTAAGGTTTGTCAACAGGATCACCACTAGGGACCCAGATTAGCACCCTGCTAGCTTCAAGTTAATACTCTTTACAGGTAAGCTAACCTTGCAAGGGGGGACAGGTAGCTGAGTGGCTGAGCACGGTAGCCCAGGGAGGTACTTAACCTGAAACGAATCAGCACAACTTCCAGCTGCCCTGCCTAAGCTATACAATATTAAAATCTCTTAGTTCTGTTACCTAAGAAAAGTGAGTAGAAGACAGGTGGCTAGATAGTTCTGTTAATTAATGTGTCGGTCCACAAGGGGGCAGTAATAGTCATCTGACGCTGACCTCTCAGTTAGGGCCTTGCTCTGGCTGTCCCGGGCCACCTGCAGATCCTGCTCCAGCCTCTTCTTCTCCGTCTCTATCTTCTCGGCATCTCCCGGGACCCGCTTCCTGGGCTTGGCGTACTCCAGCTCCCTCAAGAGCTCCTCCTTCTCGTTGATTAGGATCAGCCGATCCCGCTCCGGGTCCAGGAGACCTGGCCACGCCTCGCTGTCCAGCTTGGCGATCTGCACCTCGATGTTGGCAATCCTGCAGACACGTCGGCGCGATCAGAGTGACTCACTCAACGCGGCAAGGTGCCCCGAGACCTGCGACCGCGGCTCGCCACCAAAATAAGTCAACCAGCGGTCAACGTCAGGCGCCCACAGGTTTTATCATGGGGTCGTCCAGAAGCTGGGGAAGTTTACCGTCTCTTGGCCTCTTCATACTTCAGACTCAGACGAACTTTCTCTGCCAGCGTGTTGCTGCTGTTCATAGCAAACTGGAGGGAACCAACAGATTAAATCTCTCAGGGTCAAGTGCTCCTTTTTAACCCAGTGAGTATACAACAAAATGTAAATTAAAGAAAAAAAAAATCACATTATTTGAATGTCATAAATTTAAATGTACCTTTTAGTAATATTAAGAAAATGTCACTAAATGCAGCACCACTCAACCCAAGACATAAATGGTTGCTTTGGGTGCCAACGTAGCAACCCAACTTCAGAAGGGGCGACAGTGGTGAAGCCTACCAGTACTAACCAAATCCCAGAAGAGAAACTACAGATGGAAAACCCTGTAGAGACCCAGCCCAACTGATCTCAATGCACAGTGAGTCCCCTGATTACTCTCCTGTGGTGGTTGCTCACCTCTGCAGGCAGGTCGGTCTGGGATTCGGCATCCGAGTAAAGACGGGGGATGGAGAGGTTGGAGTCGGCCAAGGAGCTACTGGCCCACAAGTCCATCTGGGACCCCGAGTCGAACAGGAAGCCATCCTTCAGAACAGCCAGTTTCTGCATGAAAAGTCAAATCGAGAAATGAACAAAGTTTCACTCAAGGTAAATCAACTATCTATCATGCCTCAGACAGGAGCATTCTGGAAGCCAGCTGAAATACCGTACTGGTGAGATGCCAGTTTCCACAGGGAAAAAACAAAATGTAAGCAAAACGCAAATTGGTAGCTGGTTGGCCGGCAGGGTGTGAGAGCTACACTCTTAGCACGCCCCCTTGTGGCAGGAGGCCTGAAAACTGCACCTACCATCAAGATGCAGGAGACAAGCTTCAGTACAACACTTGGGATAATAAGACAGCAGATTATTTCAGTAGCTTAAAGAAATAAGTGATTTTAGATGCGTATTTTTAGGATTTTTCGACCCGAAGGCATGGAGAGTTGCTTGCTCATGTGGAATTATGAAAATGCACTACATGTGGGCCCGGCGGGGATGGGCTGTCTCCCGTGCATCACATGACCACGCTCGCACCGCGGCGCCGTTTACCTCCTGAGCCCCCTTGTGCTCTTCACGAGAGCGAAGGAGAAACACATGCAAGTATCACTATCGGGGGGAGGGAGAATGATTAAACAGATGCATTCCCATAATTCAGTGGGGCACATCCACCTCCTCTCACCGCATGGAACCAGGTCACCGGGTTCCCAGTACTGCCCTCCAGCAGCATCTGAGCTGGGCCAATCTGCTGGCATCTGCGCGGCGTTCGGACGGGATCCCGTCAGCCGCAGGGGGGCGGGGCCTGTCTGCATCACCTTGGAGACGACATGCTGGGTGCTGAGGCAGCAGCTGGCTGACCTCTCACATCCTCTCACGCCATGGCGACTGTTGTCTAGGACGGATTCTGCCCCCCCTCCCCCACGCGCCCACAAGCAGGCACACGGTTCTCGCACCTCTTGCCCCCCCCCTCGCCTCCCCCAAGGCAACCCACCTGCATCAGCTCCCGTTTCTCCTTCTCGCCTGCGCTGATGGCGTCTTTGATGGACTTCACCTCGCTCAGAATGGCCTGGGCCTCGTGCAGCTTGTAGCCATAGGGGGCGCTGGACACCTTGTGGTCAATCCTGTCGAGGAGGGGAAGGTGCGAGGAGCGAAATGAGGGGGGGGTCGACAGGATATGAGTGTGCCGGCTGAACGGAGGCTGCTGTGCGGGAGGGGGGGTGGGGCAAACACACCAAAACCTGACGGCGGCGGCTGCGGCTGCGGCTGCGGAAGGTGACTCATGGATTAGCCGCGAGCGACTCCGGCTCGGCCGGTCCGACCGCATTCCTCGCCGCGAGCTGAGGGTAGAGCCACGGGGGCGGCGGCAGCGAAGCCCTGGCTGAACACTGAAGCCCTGAACACGCCGGCTCTTATCATAATCCGCGGACCTCTGTCCTAACACTTTGCCGCTAATCCTGACACTAGGGTGGGCACTAGTGGTTAGCTTAACCCGCGTTCTCTTCCCACAGCGCCTAAAATGTCATGATGCGGCTCCCAGAGATGGTAAGACGTCAAGGATGACACCTCTAGAGAGACGGGTAGAAGGAAACGGGAACCAAACAGGGAACCAAACGAGACAAATACGATTCTGTTTTGAGCCGAGGGCAGGCGAGGACATGTCGCGGAGGGCCCCGCAGGCTTCTTCCTTTCGGACACACTTACTCTCGGAGCGTCTCGAAACCCTGTTCCTTATAACGCAGCTCTTGCTTCATAAAGGCGAGATCCCGCTTCAGCTTATTTACCTAAAAAGTGAGAAATGAAGATACGGGGTTAGTCCACAGGCTTGGGTTTACAAAAATAGATGAGACCGATCGACCACATCCGGCCCGAGTCTTTGGACAGAGTTCAGCAAGCGCTGAGCCATCGTGGTCCTGCAGCGCCGTGTTTTGCCCCGAAATACGGAATTAAGCCCGACGATCACCCCCCCAATTCGCAGAAACGATGGGCCGGCCCTATCGCCGGCTCAGCCAAACGTTCCAGCCAAACAGCAACTACGCGAAACAATCGGCAAGACTTCCAGCCCACTTTCCGAGAGGGACTTTCTAACCTGCGAGGCTAATGACGAACATTGCATATGAGGAGGCAAAGGTGCGAGCATCTGGCTTGGAGGCTTTGTGTCTCATCACATCATTACATATTTAATTACATTTTATTTATTTTAGCAGATGCTAAAAACGACATGCAGAAAGCAAGGTCAGCCAGAGCCTGAAGAAAGTGGGAGTTAAGGGTCTCGCTCAAGGGCGTGAAATCACTCACTCAACCCTAAGATTCGAACCCGTGAACTTGCCATCACAGACTGAAGACTCCATGTGGCCAAACCTTAACCCACTGAGCCATGTACCACTGAATGGTGACAAGCCCTTTGTACCCGGCTAATTTCTACACAGATGCACTGTGGGAAATGATGGCATTCCAGACAAGAAATCAACTAATTAACTTTGTTGTTTTGTCATGCAGCAGGACTCACCCGGCTCTTGGCGGTCACGATCTCTGCCTTGAGTATCTCTGGGTCATACTTGCTGCTGGACGAGGACCTGGAGTTCACTGCGGGAGATGGAGACAGACGCACGATTCATTTCATGTTTAAGGCGCCGGCGGCTTCCTGCTCCGCCGGGCCACACGATCCTCCGGCATCTCAGCCTCGAATAGAGATGAGAGGGGATGCGCTTATCGTGCAGGATTTTCTTCAGGATTCCCCCCCCCCCACAAGCCGGCGGTCTTACAGCTGCTCTGGGAGGCGGACCTGCCCCGCCACACATCGCTCAGCTGCCGGTACTCTTGCTGGGCCAGCTGGAGGCGCTGTTCCTTGACCTGGCATGTCTCCCGCTGTGTGGTCAGCGCCTGCTGCGCAACCCCCAGGTACTCCCTGAGCATGCGCTCCTGCTCCCGCTGCCACTGCACACGGGGGTCCTCCACCTGCGTGCGCTCTGGGGGCGTCACAAACCGCTCGTTACTGCCCAGCAGCCCCCAAACCCACGTATCAGGGGGCTTAAAGGGACACCAGACCGTTTCAGTTTTTCTCAAACTTTACGGATTTTCTCTTCTTGTGGACACGACAGGAGCTTCCTGCCAGGACCTGGAACATTACAGCTTCACATCTGCTCTCAAACCCCTCGGTTACCTCATTTGAATTTTAATCTATCATTATTCTGTAATATAAAAACAAATCGGGCACACTCCAGCCTTCACTGTTTAAAGCTTTATTGTGCTTTTTTCCATTAAGGGCACGATAAAGTTATTCTCTCAAACCACACTTAATTACGTCAATCGCACCTGAATGTTCACAGAGCCAATATTTGGTTGATAATTCAGCTTTTATATCATACCTAACTAACACCAAAACAGACTTGATTCTTATACAGAATTTTACTTTCCCCAATATTACAAATATTACAACCAAAGCAGAAAACTCACAAAAGAGGAAACCATTAAGGACTGCAGAGCATTTTAGGGTTGAGGATAAATTCAGCACTTACTGGTGTTATGATCCACATAGTAGGGGCCGATGTGGGGGTCAAAGGCCTCCTCCCAGCCGATGGGGAGCTCATCCCCGATGCAGTCAGCAAACGTCAAAGGCTTGGTCTGCCTGGGGGGGGGGGGAGGAGACAGAACATTCTGGGAACTCCTTTAATGGGACCTAAAGCTCCGGCATTAAAACGGCGCGTCCATCTCGCGGGGTTTCACCTTTGACCGCTGCAAAGCCAAGTGGGAGTGTTCATGGGCAACTAATTTCTGCACAGATGCATTGTGGGAAATGGCCTTGGCTTGCCAGACAGAAAATCTGCCAATTGATTTAGTTCAGTTTTGTTACGTATCAGCCTTTGCAATCGCCGCAGCGGCATGTCTGGCCACAACGGGAACGCGGCACTGCACCAGACCGCCGGTGCAGGAGACCGGGCCCTGCCATTCCTGGGGCCTCTACGACTCCGGTGCCAGAACGTTTCTGAGGCAACCCTGCTGCCGCCGTCCAAGACCAGAGTCCAGGAACACAAGAAACCCAAAGGGTGACCCCCCCCCCCCCCCCACTGAGACCCCAGCAGAACAATAAAACAAAACAGACAGACCTTTCTCACTAAAGGGCTCATTCACCACAAATATGAAGATATACTCTGTTTGCCGGAATGTTACTCAGTGTTGCTCGATTTCTCCGATCACTCTTCCGCTTTTCTGATTAAACAAACTGCAGTATCTTTTGATTTCGCCGTTTGCCGGCCTCTCAGCTATTATCAGCAGAACTTGCATATATACCTTCACGGACTCTGGTTCCCATTTGCAGGGAACGAAGTTCCGCAGCACAGCCCCAGATAGCGGACCATGGGAGATGTTTTCTAGACATAGCGACCTTTAGTTTGACAGGCATATATCTGTCAACAGCCATCAGCTGTTAATGACAAGGAACGCGGGTGAAAGCTTAACGGCGAAGAGTCATAATGGTTTTCCGCAGTCGGCTAAATGACAAAAAAAAAAAATGCAATAAACATATACTTCGAGTGCTAATATTATATTTAGCACTCGATATACTTTATATGTGTCTTATATAAGATTAATTATGTGCAGTATAATGGAAATATGGTATACAGCAGTATTTTAAAATATTGGAAACAAAATTAACCAAGGTGGGTGGGGGGGCGAGGTGGTGTTGGTGCTGAATTTGCTGAATTATATTATGGGGAAACCCTCCTCCCCCCATTCCAGCAAATTATATCAAGATTTTATCATAAGATTTCAAAATGCTGAAATAATGCTTTTCAAAATACTGTCAAAATACCACAGTAAGGCAGCGCAATGTCTGGACAGTGTTCCAGTATGAAAAATTAGATACTGCCCAAGATTAGATTAGATTACACATCTTTATTGATCCCGGGGGGACATCAGTTACCAATGGTAACAAAATGAGGACAGTCGGAGGGGCAGAAAAACCCCCCCACAGTGTGGCTGAATCTCAGACGGGAGACGTCATAAACAATGTGAGGAAGACCACTGTGGGCCATCTGAGTCCCAGCATAGGGAAGGGGACACGGCCGCAGAGGGGATCTTTCAGATGAGATGCCAAACAGAGACTCTTAGTCACCGCTGTCGCGAAAGGGCTAATCACTCATCAAACGAACCAGGGTGTTAACTTTCTTAGAAACTGTCTAATTATCCCAATGTGTGTGCAGGGTAATAATCCTTACCGTCATTAACAAACCCTAGAGCATTGATTACTCTGGGAAAACAACATTGAAGTTCTTCCAGTAAAACAATCTATCATAATTACTATAACTATTTAAGAGAAAACACGACCGACTAAATTATTATGCATTATGAAGAATTCATGTCGATAATGTTTTTAATGCTAATTTCAGCAAATTGTTTTATATATTGCGAATTAAGCTATTACCCCAGAATGATTCAGGAGTGGATTTTTCCTTATTTAAAACACCAACTATTCTGTGACCACCTGGATGCATTCTGGTTCTTAAGATTACGTTCATTGCCTTCACCCCCAACAAAGCAGCATGTAGGCTTGGTTCTTGAAGGCCACAGGTCCACCTCAGGTTCTGCTCACCCTTAACTGACATGTTGAAGAGCTTACCTGGACAATATGTCACATGACATGGTGCTTCTGGTAACTATCCAGCACTAATCATAAAAATCATAAAGGTGTTAGAACCAATAATGGTATTCACTGGCAGGTTTAGCTGTCAGCAATCCTAAATACCACCACTATTTAAAATTACATAATGATATATAAAGGATGATGTGAACAATGTCTGACCTGCAGTGGTCCAGATACCAGTTTTTAACGTCATTTTCAACGGGTCACAGGTAGTAAATGGACCACCGGAGAACATTCGCTGCAACACCCGCCGTGTTCCGACCACATGACGACGTGGGCCCGGTCAATTTTTAATGGCCACCTGTAACCTGATCGGTGCCACATCCAAAAACCTCTATTGCCAGGGATATGGGGGCTACGGTTTGTTATTTTTCTGCTCACGGGTTTTTGAAGGAAAGGAATTTTAACCAGTTCACTTTTCGGTGTATGAATAATGGAAAAACCAGAGGAGAGAGCATCAACCCATTCCTGAATTTAAAACTGTGACAGAGATTGGACAGGGCGTATGATTTCCTCTTCATGGCGCAACCCTCCACCCTCCCAGGGAAACTCTATTTCTAAGTCTCCAAAATAATAATTCAGAGTCCTGATGTGGCAGGCCTCATCCTACTGCTCACTCCTTTAGAGAGGGTAGGACAAATCAGACTTAAATGTAGTAAAAGAGCTCCACTGCATCTAGCACGTAAGCAAGTCTTGCTGTAAAGTCAAGGATTAGTGGAATGTTTTGTGGCCCATTATATGACAGTAATGTGATTACACGATTGTCTTCTTCGTCACACCTGCTTATTATGAAAAAGATTCGCCATTTGGGGTTATCCTGCCCGACAAAGCGTTCTATACGCACTTCCACGAAAGTGCACAGCTCCTGGCTAAATCGACAGTTTATATTCGTGTGCAAAGCAACGGTGAGTCCGGGTGTGAGGCACGAGCAAACATCACACGGGGCTCGTGTCACACGCACGGGGCGAATTCCTCGAGTGTTTCAGGCGGCGCGGGCCTCGCCTCTCATCAACGCTCAAGGTCCAACAATGAAAGGAGGCTTCACCCCCACCGCGAGGAACGGTACGGTTATATCTGAAAGATAGCATTCCATTTCCCTGACGGGATTCCTGCTCGGTGCGTCACGCCGGGCAAAGTCAACAAAGGCCGCCGTTGGAGCGGCCGAACGCGGCAGCGGCGTGCTTGGCCACCGCATCACGCTAAGCTCCGAGTTCCTGTTACGGGCAGGATATAGGTTAGCCCTAATCTGGCATTCTTCACATACCGCGCTTACTGGGTTGGAGAGCCAGAGTGGATAATATACTTAGCGTACGGGAGATCAAATTCAAATTCATTATTTACGCACGCCGACAAAATTAAAGGAACAGTGAGCGCAGGCTTCTCCACCAGAATGCAGAAATCTACACTAAAACGGGAGTTAGAAACGGTTATCTAACCAAATCATACAAATTGTGTCTGGGGACTTTAGGATGCAAATTGTTTTACATTTTCAAACAGTACTACCTTCACCCGCAAAGCAAGCTTAATCGCTATGATTTAAAAAAAAAAACCAGTTTAATTGGATTTTTACTAAATGAGTGATTAAACTTTCAAAATATAATCAGCATACTCCTATTATAATAAAACAATTTCTTCAGCTGTGATTGGACAGGGTTTTTTTCCACCCCGTGTCCTTGTGTTTTGCTTTACATTACATAACAGATGCCCCTAAAGCAGGTCATCTAAAATACTACATTTTCAGCAGCCATGTTCATAATCAAAACGGATCATGAAGCCGAGAATTAATTTTCCCTTAACAATACAGTAATCCATTTTTATGCGATTATAGTTTATGGGTCATTTAAATAGCTAAACTGCTTCACGCTAACACTCACAGGGGGATTAGAGTATAACTGTTTAAAACTTTTCAAACATGCTGTACACGCACAAGGCAGGGAAGCTAATGCCGGTAAGTGGTGTTTGTTAGGTGGGAATCTTCCCACCTTAGGGAACGGCAGACGAAACGGGGATTCATTAAGATACAGCACTACAGGTAATCTTTGTTACCTATCAACTGTTGCTTGGCAATAGAAGGGGGGGGGGTGAGACGCTACTGGGATGTAAATCCATTGACTGTTCAGGGTTAGTCCTTGTCTTGTAATCGAATACGGCTTTTTTTTCCCCACAGGTGAGGCGATGAGGTCCCAACCGCTCGCAGCTGGCTCCGCAATCCAGCCACGCGTACCGCCGCAACCGCTTGCTTGGTGTTTTCAATAGAATAAAATAACACATCAGAGGCCCTACAGCTCGGGACACGATTTAATGAAACACGTGTTCCACACACACGCTCCTATCTTTCTCCGCATTCGCTTTCCTAAGGTCTTGTAATACACTAGCTCCGACCTCACCGGAAAACAAGGGGAAAATATATGCAATATATTTCATTTCGACTCTTTAGCTAGGATGTAGCCTATAACCTCATGTTTGTATGTATGCATGTGTGTGAGAGACCATAATGGCACGTAGAGACAAAAAAAGAATGAGTATCATTGCAGTTCTCTTACTCATACTTAATGTCTGTCTTTATTTTCGCAAGGAATTTTATTTTAAACCACAGAACCAGGATCGAAATATTTCCCGATACGAACTATCAAGCAGATTTTTTTTCATCTTGAGGTTCCGGGATGTGACTACCTCTATTTTTTAACTGCTGCAACACTGTGTCTCAGTAGACGTAAACATCTACAGATGTTTCAGAATAACGACAGTTTTATTTGAGATTTGATACAAGTAAAAATGGGGGTCTGTGTATCAACTCACTGCCGCTAAATGCAGCGCATTACAGTCCGTTTATAATTTACTCATAAAGTCAGATGCCTGGAATAATTACAGGGAAATATGCTGTATACGATCATTGTTCCCTTTGACATACTTTCAGCATGACTGTTTTTTACAGCTTGAATAAAGGGAACAGGATCAACTTCTTTAAAGCTGAGATTCTCTAAATAAAACGTACAGTTTCTCCATCACACGTGGACGCTTTAGTTACCAGCGAATATAATTCCATGGTTATACGTTTGAATTTTATATCACACATTAAGCAGCTACTTATTAAACTGATTTACAAAGCAGGTTCAATGTTAATTTAGTGACATAACCGGAATTTCAGATCCAACCCAATCGTATGTCACATGGATGGGAAAACACCGCTGTATTTTTTAATCAGACGAGTACCGTACCTGTCCCTCGGGTCAATCCAGCTTGTAGTATGATTGACGTGATCAATGTAATACACTTTCCCATCAAAATCACGGGCTTCTTCCCAACCCTCTGGCAATGGTAACTCCTTCCTTGGCATGTCAGGCAAGTCCCCATGTAATGAAAGTCTTCTAAGGGCTATTATGGTTGAATGGCGTGCAATTTGGTATCCCTATAATAACTATGAGGTCCTTTAAAAATCTTTACGTTATGCGTGCCATCAACACCGGATCCGTTTCCTTTTAACTCGATACTTCATGTTTCGGTCACCATCCACGTTTCCAGCGTCGGTTTCCCTAATGTGGTTAAGAAATGTGGCAGTTTACGTGTAACGAGCAACATTTTTTGGAAAATCTTTGTGATTTCGCTACATCGTGTGCTTCTCGGCTACTCGTCGGGTCTGCAGCGGCTATTGCCATTCATAACACACCGGCAACAAGTTAACGATCGTGCTGCGGGGCTCCGGAGCGGCGTGCTGGAGAGGGCGATCCGGGTTCCGAAGCGTCTCTGTTGGCATTCTTCATTCAGCCGCGGCGCTCGTTTATCCTCAATGCGGCGATCCTCGAATCCAGTCGCCGTGCTGCTTCGGAGGAGAAGAAAAAACTTGGATTTTCAACTTTCTAAGCGGGATGGACGTATTGCTTCTGAGCTGATTAACACATGACCTGCAAAAAAAAAAAAAATCTACGATCCCATTCCCACGGCGCAGGTCTCCGATGCCCGTACCGGCAGTTGCAGCATTTCCCTTCAAAGCGAAAACGGCTTTTCTTAAATATTTTAAAACCCTCTTTTAGTTTTCGTCCACAGCGGCCACCATGTTTAACCAGCAGAAGCTCCCTATTCCTGTTCTTTTCAATAAGAAAATTTGTCTAACTTCTTTTCAGTACGCACCATTTGCATCCATGGTTCCGAAACGGTATATTTCCGTTAATTCTCCAAGAAATCCATTAAGTTGGTTGTTTTATTTGTACAACGCGTCCCTTTTCTTAAAGGGGCAATATCTCCCTCCCAGTGTACTGGTTGTTTCGGTCGTGATGCTGTTAGTTGAATTACGTCATCCAGGTGATTACCGTATTTCTCGTAACAAACGCCTTTATTGTAATAACTTTAAAACTGGGCAGTTAAAGTTTTGGTAGGTTATTTTTCACGTGACTCGCGGAAACACAAAGTCTTGTTCACCGAATGCAATTGTTTTTTTAAGATTATTAATGCTTTTAACACATGTCAAACATTTAATTTTAATATACATGCTCAGAAAACCTTGAGCATAATATTAATGACTTTAAGTATTTTACATTCACATCAACCACTCAGGCGGTGTTTTAGGATTTAAAAAAGACTAACTTAAAGGATTTTTACATAAGCGTAGGCTATATAAACCTAGGGACGGTCGCCAGTTTATGGCACAGAATGAACCCAGAAAGCAACTGAATGTGAGGCAACTGTATGGTGTCGTCGCGTAAGACGAATCACTCACAGTTACTGACAGGTATCTACCGTTAAACTTTCGACTTTTTTTCTCGGAAGTTTATTTCGACTGTAATCTCAACATTATACATACATACATTACACACACACACCTACACACACGCCCTAATAATCTTCCTTGGGTTTTTTGGGAAAGTCTCATTAAGACGCTTAGTTATAGTTTATTTTAATATAAAGGCCTTCCCTCTACAGCTGCAAAAAGTGCCAAATAACTAACTAAATAAACAAACAAAAATATAAATAAATAAATAAATACTAGGACGAAATATATGAACCCGACTTATTTTTTAAAAAGCGACATTTTTTTAACTATACCGAAAATAATAAATTCTTACTATATTCTACGTAAGCAACATCTTTATAGCTAATTATATTGCTGTGTTTATATACCTCTTTACAGAGACATTTGTCACTATGCTATCACGTGGTCTGTCAGGCCACTTTATTCTCGTGCTGCCAGACGAAAAAGACTTCCTCTTTATTTTTATATAGTTCCTTTCCGTCGCTGTCAAGGTTGCTTCAAGTCAGGCTCACACAACTGAAAAAACATTACATCTTGGAGATATAAACATCTGGTTATAGTTTCCGGCCAAACACTCTCCTAGTTTACCCAAACATGTCAGAATTACTATTGATATAGGCCTAGTTCTTTTCCAAAAGACCTCAATTGACATTTTTCTTGCAGTTCAGTCATTTCTACAGTATAGAAATAATATACTATATAACATTGCAGAATAAGCTGCTTTAGTTTAAAGACATGATTTGTATAATATTCACGTTTAATAATTAGCAGCACCGTAATGATGTGATATGATGATATGATGTGGTATGATTCTACAAAACGAATCCCTTTAATGGTAATTTATTGTCATACAATTCATTTAATGAATCTAAATACAACATTCAGTAGCTTTCCTTGGTTAGGCCTTACTAGAAGTATTGATCTGTTTCACACCCGTTCTGCTAAGTATCTTGCTCTTTTTTGCGCTATTTAAAGCTAACAGTGTTTAAGTAATTTGTTGAGTATTTTATAGAACTGATGCTCTACCCCGTTAAATACTGATGACATATAGTTGCATATTTATCACTATACTTTATCCTTTACTCGCTGGAAGTTGGTTTATTATCCTCTAGCTTTGGTTGGTATAAAGGGCATGTTTTGGTAGTTTTTAAAATAATGTCTACATATTTACGGTAACGTTCCAGTTCTTTTTCAAACACTGTAACCAGGGGCGGATGAGGGATCTCAAAGCAGCGGTGGGACGAAAAGGGGGTCCCCCTCTATTTACCAAGGGCCCCCTGCCGTGATGGGCCCGGGGGTAAACGTCCCTCCGCACACCCCCGCCTCCTCCGCTATACTGACTGTAACCTTGTACCATGTGACAAAAAAACATTAATAGTTCCTCATTATACCTAACAACCAAAAGCTACCACTTTCAGAATAGTACACAACATTTCGTTACAAGTTACTGGGTATGTAGAGTATCGTTTTGAAGACGGTAAAGATAAGAGGAAGACGCTTCAGTTGTAAATGTTAATATCTGATGTTGGAAAAGGAAGAACAAGGCATGCATATCACTGCAGTAAAAAAAATCGGAATCGAAACACGGAATAAAATAAGCACCTTGAACAATATTACTAACGCGATATACAAAAGAAGGGTTAAAATGCACACTTTCCTTTTTCAACGTGATTAAATTTCAACTCGTGTCTGCAGGCTAGTGTCTGTAACGCCCTGGTGGCGTCAGCCACAGCACCGGCGACATAAACTGGGCGGGGAGGCGCAGGACTGCCGTCCCATCGCAAGCTTACTAAGGGCCGGTCATATGAAACGGCTGTGCCTCACGGATACTGAGATCAGAACCGTGTCGGTTCGGCGTTCCAGCGGACACACATGGTTCTGCTCCGCCACATATCCATTGCTTTAACCGCCGCGGTGGCCGCTCTAGGATCGGCGCTGTTCATCGCCTGGAGTTACTTCTACAGAAGGCGAATATGGTCACCTGAGATGGACTACTGCGTGTTCAAAGAGGTGAGGTCTTATCTCTGCTCTTCAAGCCTTTCCTTCGAAACGCTTCAACTTCGTATAAATGTAATTTTTAACGTTGCGATCCATGCCTAAGTTAATGTCAGATGGTGCAGGTTGCTGCAAGTGAAAAGTCTAGACGTGGCCATAACTTGCGATGGGGAAGTACACTCCATTTTGCAAGACTGCGTGTAGGGTAAACATTTTCAAAGTGGCTGTTTTAACGCCAGCTGTCATGCACCGCGAAGCGAAACAACGGCTAGAAAAATACACCTGCCGAGTATTAATTAATATACCCGAATGAGCGGGGAAAGAGTGAGTTTATTTTGCATGGTATCTACGCAATCATGCAAATGCCGCAAAATCTCCGCTCCCAAATTTAAATTCTGCAGTATGTGTAAAAACACAGTATATAAGAAATCATATACAAAGCATATTTAATTACTGGGTACTGAGCAAAAATGGAGTGGATAACTGAAGGTTTGTACTGAGTATCCTACTGTAATTTACAATTTTCATATCGCATGTAATATGACTTTGAGCATATCCGTTTTCCTGTTTGTATGAGCAAAATCAATGGTCAGACTTTGAACTATTACCAGCTGTAGGTTTTTTCATAATCTGCCGTCTGCTTAACGTATGACCTCCTTGTGAATCCAAACTCACGTGCAGCACTGTTAGAGATAATCGATTTAATAAAGCACGCCAATACCATCACCTTTCTCTCCGACCAAACAAATAAGCACGGAATATGATTTTGTAGCTTCCATGTGGGCGCTTAAACACGATTGTTTCAGTGGATATTGACCACCCCTTTTACTTACTGTAAGACATTAAATCAGTGTGCTCCTTTTCAAATGGGAACATAACATTCTGCTTCTCTGCCTCCTACAGTAACAAAAGGGCCACTTTCACACGTTGAAAAGCAGTCAGCCTAAAAAGAGCCAAGTAGGATTTAATCACCTTTGTTCACCCTTATTATTCTAAAAATGAACACAAATTAAATCTGCAGTCTTGAAAAGAATAGATCCTTTGTTTTCTCCTGGATCCAAGGTAGGAATCCCGCACCCCTCGCTTTCTGTGTAGGTAATGTTAGGGTTTATCTTTGTTAAGGATGAACAGTGTAATAACCTTACTGTACCTTAGCTTGTCAAATAAGTCAAAGTCCTTGTCTGTATACATAGGACGTATTAATTTTCTTTAATTATCACCACTCTGCTTTAAGTAAGTAACCGAAATCAATAGAAGTTTATCTCCCAATATTAAACCTACTTTCCCACAAACATTCGTTTCATTGATGTTTTCATTCAGAGAAGTCGGTTTGTTTTCTGTCCGTCATGGGACTGAAACCTAAACCTAAACTGCCTAGTCAGGTCCCGCTCTTTTCCCTACTGATCGCCAGTACAAGCAGTGATTCCGCCGAGGAGCGCAGCTGGTGCTTGTCGGCCAACAAAAAACCCGCTCAGAGTTTCACGAATCTTCACACGTGTGGCCAACAGGAGCAGGAGAAGGAGCAGCGCAATGAAAAGCAGGTGCTTGTCCTGGGCCTGGACGGAGCCGGCAAAAGCAGGGTTCTGCAGGTGCTCAACGGGACGAGGGGCACGAGGGGCTGCCGCCCCACCAGAGGCTTCAACTTCATGAGCATCAGCACTCCGGGGTGCCAGCTGGACTTCCTGGAGAGTGAGTGCTGTGCCCATGACTGCTTATGGTTAATCCTGGCTGGTTGGCAGATTCCAGTCTTTGAAAACCACTCATCAAACAAATGGTTACTGGTAAACCTGCAGACCATTAACGTAGGTTAAGCATCCTTCTTAGGGACTTTGATCACTAAATTACCTAGTATAAAGATACCATTACACCGAAGACAGAAATTTATAGGAGCAATCACTATACTTTTTGTGCGATTGGTTCATATACCAAACTATTTCTTTTTCTTTTGGCAACTGTCAACTTTAATTGAGAAATCGTGAGTGAGAGCGTCCCCTAGTCATCTTCCAGATAATTCCGAATAATGAAAATGTCGATAATGGCACCTCTGATAAATTCATAATCCATTAAATGAATAATTAAATGGGAAAAAATGACAAAAACTAAAATGACTAATGACAAACATTTCTTCAAATGCAGTATTTAATAAAATCTAGAAGGGTCTTTTGGCACAAAGTGTTTTTAATCTGATGTCGACGGAGCCTTTTCGCTGAAGTATTGCTTCGCGACATAATTCATACCCCTCCTGCGCCAGTTGGTGGTGGTGAAGACCTGCGGATGTACTGGACAGAGTACCTGAGGAAAACCCATATCTTGGTGTATGTGGTCGACTCCTCTGACCGCCAGCGCCTCCCACTGGCGAAAGAGGAACTGCACAGGCTGCTGCAGGCTGACAAGCAGCTCCCTGTGGTGGTGCTGGGGAACAAACAGGTAAATATTGGTGGCTTGGTAGGTGACATGTAGCTAGATTTCATACTACAATGCAGTGGGGGCGGGGGGAGGGGGTGGGTTCATTATAAAAGATTTTAAGTTTGAGTAGCAGTTTCAGAAAGCTGCAGAAATATTGCTTGGAATAAAGCAGTTTTAGTCGTCAGCAGCCACAGATCATTTACAGCTGTGGAAAAATTGAGAGACCACTCTATATTTTTAAACAAATCTGCATTTTGAAATCCTGGTTTAATCCTGGTTCTGTTGGCAGAAGGCTACACTGAGCAGCAGGCTGCTTCCAGGTTCAAAATTTCAAAGACAGCAGTACACAAGAATAATGTGAAGCAGGAGACACTGGGAACGACCAAAAACCAGCCAGATTGAGGGCAGAAGCGACTTTCTGATGCCCGAGATAACCATCAACTTATCCGACAGTTTCTCATGAATCGGAGGATGACCTCAAGTGACCTTCGATAGGAATGGGAAACATTAAGTGCAGGTGTGAAGTGCACTGCTAGGACAGTTCATAACAGGGTCCTAGAAGCAGGAATGAAGACCCATAAAGCAAGAAAGAATCCCTTCATTAACATTATTCAGAGATGCAGAGCCATAAATTGAGAAATGAGTGAAACAAAAAAAATGTTCTGTGGTCTCTTAATTATTTCCATGGCTGTAGGTTTCTGTGTTCCTACCTCAGCCCTTACAAGTATTCTTTGAGTACATATTTATTTAATAACTGTCAGCTGAATACCAGCAACCAATGAAAATGTGTAAAAGACTTGGGTCTTGGGGTCGCTCACCTATCTCGTGCTGTTCTCTCAGGACAAGCCCGGCGCCGTTAGCGTCTCGGAGCTCCACGACGCGCTCTCCCTGGGAACAATCAGGGACGAGAGGAAGGTCTTCCTGCTGACTGCACAGCTGGGCTCTGAGGACCCGAGTGAGTCGGGTGGGCTGCGGGCCTTCCAGGACCTGCTGCTGCAGCTGGCTTGACCCGGGGCCCCATCTGAGCAGCCGGTTGGGTAGGAGGAAGAAAGTAAACCCTGAGCATGTCAATTCAGCTCCATCCATCGAGAGTATGAACCCATTCTGCTCCACCAATCAGAATCTGGGTCAATTCTGCTCCACCAATCAGAATATCGGTCAATTGTATGCCACCAATTAGAATATGGGCCAATTCTGCTCCACCAATTAGAATATGGGCCAATTAAGCTCCACCTATCTGAATATAGACCAGTTCTGGTCCACCAATCAGAATATGGGCCAGTTAAGCTTCACCTATCAGAATATGGATCAGTTAACCTCCACCTATCAAAATAGGGGCTAATTCAGCTCCACCAATGAAATAATGGTGCCAGAACTTCACTTCTTACAGGTGATTTGGTATAAACCTGTCTGAAGGGTTCATGAGCCCAATATCAAAGTAAAGCACAAATCTGTTGTGGCGTACGCGTTTTGTACATCGCCTAGGCCAGAAAATGAAATTAATCCAAGGCGATGGGTACAGTTAACACTCCTATTTCTTCTAAACATTTAGTGATCGAGGTAATTCTGTGAAACCAGAGATTAGGCTTCTGCCGTGCCAAGGATGACGTCCAATGATAACCGGAAAATACGTGGATAATTACAAAGCTATCTCTGATGTAGAAACGGTCAAAAATGTCAGCATTTCGAAGTCAACATGGATCTTCCCTCTTTCGATACAATTATTGTGCAAATACCACTCACTTACTGGAAGTTCCGTCCAACACAAGAACTTAAGCTGTGGCCTCAGCCAAATACGCTGTGGTCAAACAAATCATGTTTACACACCATGTATATGAAGGTTGATAATTGCTTTGATTTGTGAATAGGTTAATAAGTTAACAGTTTTGGTGGCAGGAGGAACACCTTCAAAAAGATTATTTTAAAATGGCTCATTCGCACAAGTCACTGGATTTTTATTTTATTGCTATCTCGTGTTTAATTTAGCTTGTGCCACATATGCCACTTATACTGCAGAATTTTTAAAGCATGCTTGTTCCGCCATTAACAGTGTGATGTGGCACTCAGTGTTTTTTATAGTTAAGTAGCTGCAAGCAGTAGAAGTGGAATTACCGCAAATAAGACGCAAATGTTTCACGCACAAAGTGCACTAAACGGGAATGTGGCAACGGCCATTTTTTGCACATGACCTCCATATATAGAAGGCCAAAAGTACAAGGTATTTTTCAATTCAAATAGCTATTTATTTATGAGCGTGACATATTTTTTTTCCCACTCATGCTGCTATACCTGTAATTGCACCATAATGGGCTGGGTAGTACTACCTAAACATCACAAAAGTATTCTTGAAAACCTTTTTAAAAACATGTAGCATAGCATTTTAGCTCCTGGCAAACCTTAATAGCATGCATATTTAAGTGTGTAAATAAAGGTGATAGAGACATTAATGCAGTGGTTCTGAGTCCTGTTCCTGGTGCCCCGCCTCCCTTGCCGGAATGTTTTCATTCCAGCCCTGCCTTAATCAGGCTTATATGGTCCTTTATAGGCCAACATTTCTGGCAGGGAGCGTGGGAGGGAGGATTGACAACTACTGCAGTAATGGAATCAGTTGCTGGAAAAACGTTACTAATATTCAACTTCGAATTGCACAGAAAATCCAAGCCTGCCAGAGACCCAGCTGCTCTGCTGCTATTGCTAACTGTTATGACCGATACTGATCGTCAAAAGTTTTCCTGCCTTTCAAATCGAGAAGCTAGTGATTGTACTTGTTCTGCATGGTCCTATTGCCCAGCCCTCTTCCGAAAACACTCCTACCATGTGACTGATTGTACAATACTTTAAACCAAGCTGTGAGGAAATGAGTAACTATTACAAGAGTACTGGCGTATTTATTCATTGTGAAAATTAACAGGATGCATTCTCATTAAGCATATATACATATTTCTCATGTAGGACACAAAGACAAAATGTAGATCTGTCATATTCTGGTTTTAAATGGTGCTGTGTTTGTCAAATTAATGATTATACAGAGTATATGAAAGTCCTTTTAGCTTGATTCAAATAAAAATGTTTGGGGCACAAAGCACTGACTCATCTTTTACATACAATTAAACCAGATAGTTTCAAAATAAAGGTATTCTCATTGTGTATACTTAAGATTCAAAACCGCCATCAAAGGCTTGGATATGCCAGTTTTTCCCACACTCATAAACACTAACGGCTTAATTATAGAATTCTGTTGACACTGGTCACCTCCCATGCAGAAATCCCATATCTATTTTGTGTCCATTTGTTCAGTCTTCAACAATTCCAGAAAGGCAGCATATTCTTCTGGGTGACACTGCTTGTACAGCTCTATTTTCCTTTTTATTTGTTTTGGTGTATCCTGGTAGTAGTTCTTTTCATCTCTGGCCATAGCCTGGGAAGAACAAGTGACATAAGCAAGCCCAAGAGTTACAGTTATTGTGTTTCAAATGTAACACCAAAATGAGAGCACATGTAGATCTTCTACCCACCTTATAATCCTCCTTGTGTTCTCGGATCATGTGCTGCACATACTCGATCATGTCTGTGGACACTGTCCTCGTGTCCTGCTTTGGCAATTTTGCCTGAGCTTCCATTTCTTGCGGGAAGGCAAACAAAAAGTTAGATAATACAAGTGTGCTTGTGGTAAATTACAACTCAGTATGAACACTGGAACAAAATAGCCATACCTTTGATCACGTACGGTTTCCTCACAATTTGGGCGACTTCGTCTACGTCCATCCCAGATGCCTACGGAATTTAACAAGGTCCTTTTTAACACAAGCCACGATTTACTATCAGAGTTATATACATGAATGTATCAGTATTATTACCATGTAATATAATAATGCTTCTGATATAGCCAATTTAGGTTAATAATTGAATAATATAGATTTGCCGTGAGATTTCTCGCGTGAGAGTCTGAAAGCGTGTCACGAAAGATACGTGAGAGCTGGCAACCCTGTTTGCTGCAAACCTTGTTCTTCCGGAGAGGCACAGCGACGTTGGGGTCGAAAGCCAGACCCATGTCGCTCAGGTTCTTGGCGACGGTCGAATGCTCATTCCACGCATTTCTCATCTGTGAGCTTCAGGATGTGCACAAACCAAGATCTCGATTATGGCTCTGGCCCCATCCGACAAGCCCAAATACACGTTGCCATCAGATGTAATCACTATTTACTAAATATTAGATAATTAGTGCTGACTCGTTACATACATCAAACCGCGCACAACACATACAGAGCTACTCAAACATGACCGGAAAAACAAACTATTCTCAGGATGTAATCGTAACTCACCATGCTATTCTCGGAGCCATCTTTTTCTTAACCTTCCGCTTGAGTTTTTTCCTATCTTTGTTATAATCGAACTTCTTTTTCCTACCAGCCTTCTTAGCCTTCGGCATTGTGGTCTTAGTTAGATAGCTAACAACTGGTTCTCCACATGGAAGTTAGCGAACGTACAACGTGCAGCACCACGTGACCGCTAGTGGCACACACTGTTCTGCGCATGCGGAGAACACATCTTATCATAACTTTTCCATCTATCAAAAATGTGCAAAGGCGGTAAAGGATCCACGAGCTTTACATTTCCTTCATAATGTGTTCCTATCAGGAGTCATTTCTCGACGACTTTGGCATTTCACGAGAATTATATTTTTTCATTTGTCTCCTATTCACGCACGTTGAAACATGGTCAGTCCAAGAATATAAAAGAAGAAATAAATTTAACACGTAGTGTAAAATATTATTTACACGATAAAAGGTTGAAATAGCGTTAAAATATATTAAACGTGTATTTTCCACAGTTGCCACCAGATGGCACTGCACACCGAAAAACGCAGGCACATAATTTCCGAACGTGATAATAGCACGTTCACAACAATCGTCAACAATATTTTCCCTTTAAATTTAATAACATCCATAACTAGAAATGTGTTCGGTATAGTCACGCCCTAAAAATATTTCTGAAATTTTAATACAAAATAAGGTACATGTTATTCAACTTACAGAAATAAATTGCCAATAATGACTTACAGCCTTGACTACCATCTGAATTCCTATTTACATTTGTTTGTTTCTTTCTTTCTTTGGCTCGGTCTTCTATGCCATTACACCTACTAATCGCAATGGTAATCATTTTTACGTTTAATATTTCGATGATACGGACGACGAGGTCGAATCTGGCCATATAGGGCATTATTTGAGGCGTGGCCGCCAACGAACCATCCAATAGAAGAAGGAATACATGTCGCGTAAATTTCATATTCGCACCAATGGATTGAGGTGTGGGTGGGGTCCACGGATAAACACAAGGGCTCAGGCAAGGAGCTCCGGGGCGGAGACCCAGCGAAGAGCGACAGGACGAGGAGTCATTCGGGGTTAGAATATTCCGCTTGGGGGGGTGGGGGAAGGACATATTCACTGCCAACCCGGCGACGAGGCTGGGCCTGAGGCTGCCCACAACCCAGGAAAACATGGAGCTGGAGAATATCGTGGCCAACACCGTCCTGCTGAAAGCCAGGGAAGGTAAGCAGGCGGGGGGGACCCGGCGGCTACGGGGTGCTGCCCGGGTTGACAGCTCCGAGAGCGCAGCTTCGGATGGCACCGAAAGCCCGGGGATTCCCCGAGGAAGTCTAGGCCACTCAGAAATGGGAAGCTGCCGGGTCGATCGCTCTCCCTTGTCTTTCTACCCCCTGTTGTGCTGCATTTAATGCTTTGATTGTTTGTTTCACGACTCGGCGTCCGAGTTTCTGCGACCAGGAGCGTTTTTATCGGCGTGTAACCTTGTGGAAACAGACACGGAATCTCAGGAAAAAATGGTAAACTGTCAGGATGCATTTGCACCCCAGCGGAGCATTTCGTTTCCCGGAACGCATCCCGTTTAAGCAATAATTTCTGCAATGTTTTTAGCATACCTAAAAAGGGCTCATTAACGATACCTATAGTATAATTAAGAAAAGCATTTGTGGAAACACCTGCGATTGCGTGGTAATCTAAAAACCGGGATCCCGTCGTTTTTGTCACGCACCTTCAGTCGGTTTTATGGCATTGACGGATTTTAGCACGCTTCGGCGCATTTTCCCACAAGTATTTATCAGTCTGCGGAAAAGTGTTCGTGTCTGTCGTACAGTTCACTGATTCCCCTTCCTGTCAGTGGTAACTAAAATGGCAACAAAATTACCTGCTACACAAGTTTAGTTTCCTTCAAAGTGCACGTTGTATGCAGGTATCTTTGCTCCAGACACCTGTTACAGTAAGCATACTTCTTTTCTTGCAGAAACACGTTTTTCTCTAATAGAAAATAACCACACTCTGGTGTATATATGCATGTATGTGTGTGTGTGGTCATGATAGTGAAACTATGTTGAAATACAGCCTATTTAAGGGCTGGAATTTCGCAAATACTAATACGGCATTTCTTAAAAAGACACCGTAATTACATTTTACTAAAAATTTACATTTGCATCTGTAGATTTTATGCGTTTCGGAAAAAGCCCGACCATTTACGAGCAGCTGTAAGCCATGTGAAAGTTTCTGCAATATTATTTTGGTAAATTTCGGTGATGGTCCTCTAGTTGTGGTTCTAATCAAGATGAATTTTGGGGGGGAAACAAACTGTATTGTACTAATCAGTGCCCCTGGTTTTTTATATGCACAGATGCACGATAAAACGTCTACCTGCATGCGGGTTACTCCGGTCTGCAGAGGCAGCTGCAGTTGTGCTTATGCTAGCCAGCATGAATAACCAATGCACCCCTCCTTAAATTGGCATCTTACTTTGCCCAAATATGCACACTCCTCCGTCTTGATACTGCCTCAAACACGAAGCAATCGCCAGCTTGTTTGTTCACTTAGGTTATGATTAATCGTTTGACTTTTCCATAACATGACATCGAGCAGACGGAACATCCTACAATAGTACATTTCCGAAAGTCCTTTGGAGTTGATGGATGTTTATTCCAACCACATTACGGTTGGAATAATGGGATCAGGTAGCGCTGAAATGTTAGCTAATATCGCCGAAACGTAAAGCACGGAAATTCGATTTATTTATGAATGATGGAAATGGCGCATCCATAAAATGCACTTGCACACAGAACCACAGACTTCACGTTAAAAGCGTGATGGGGGAAACCAGGATTCATACAGGGAGCGTTTTTTTTTCCTGTATAAGTATGTTTCATTTGTTTGAACTCGTTTTTTTGCACGGCAGTCATCCCGATGGGTGTTTGCACCCGGCTCAGTATTAGAATCGCATATGCTCCTCCCGTCTACACTGGCCCTGGCACAACATTGTGCTGCCGTCTAACATTGAGTCTGCAAGACGTGCAAGTACCAGTGAACATGCTGCGTTACCCTGCTGCTAGTGTGCTTTGAGCAGGAAATGTTGAGGAAAGGAGCCTCTCACGTGACACTTTTTGAACAAGTACATTTCCCACCTTAATTCTTTTAGAAAATACAACCTCATAAAAAATAATCGCTTCTATATATTCCATTTTATAATTCATAATTGGTTTCTTAAAATGCATATTTTTATATGGGGAAAATATGCAACACTGCAGGTGGGGGAAATTTGTGTGGTAATTATCAAGCCCTTGAATGGACATGATAAACGCTATAGTAAATGTCAGATCAGACTTAAAGTAATAAACACCTTCTTATCATAACTATTCATAGGACAACTTCTAAAACAAGTCTGGCTGATACTCAAGTCAGTTTTTTTTTTTTTTTTAAATGTTGTATCTCTTCCTCTGCAACAAGTGTTTATCTTCCTGTGAACTTTTTCTGAAGAGCACACGATGCTGATGCATTTTTTTTTTTCTTAATTTTAAAAAAGGCTAGAATTTGCCACCGGAACGACAGTAGCTCTTGTGGGAAGTTTGTGCTCTCAAATGAATGGATGAATGTAGAGACTGAGTGAGGTCGGCCAAGCTTTATGTTGTTTCTATATCGTCTCTGCAGTGGGTCCACGTGACTCGTTTCCTACGCAGCGTGTGGTCACACCGCAGGTCGTCTCCCCACCCCGTTCCCCTATCGCAAACTATGCAAATCTCTATACATTTTATTTGTACCCCTTATTCTGATTGACGTCATCGTCACAGAAAGCCATTTGGCTTGCAAATATTGCATTTCCTACGGCAAGCTGCAAGCAGAGTTCACTGTTCAAGGTTGAAAGTACTCTCTAATACTCTGTAGTATGCTGCAGGTACTCTGTAGGCTGTAGTACTTTGGACCCATCTGGAAAATGCCCCCCAGCCATACCAAAATTGCACCGCCTCTTTCCTGTCGTCATTTGCTGTCTGCACTGGGCTGTCGACCGCATTCGTGTTGTGAAAAGCGGTTAAGCCTCCTAAAGACACTCAGATATGCCCGCCCCCCGTCATACTGTAGTTCTCACAGGCGAGCTGACCTTTTTTCTTTTTTTTTCGTACTGGCAAGCTGCCAGAAGGCTATTCGTGATGGCAAGGCCACGGGGGCCTTCCACCTGGACCGGTCATTCCAGTGGGACTGTAGGTATTCAGTGACGATGGAGGGTGTCCACGTGCCAGTGGAGTGGTTCTTCTGAAGCTGCCGTGGTGTCCGGCGTCGTATAGCTCTGGAAGTCAGAAGACCATTTTAAAAAAGAGGCAAGGGGGGGGGGGCGGTGTTTGGCTGTACAGTTAAATCTGTAAAAGCTAGGGATGGAAATAAAGACAGGAAAATATTGATTTTAATGGCAAGTAAGCATCATTTTGTTTTGCAGTGGGTAGAATGACAATAGAGTCGTCTTTGATTTGGAGAGTTGCCCTTGGTCTCTGACTCATCCCAGGAGGAGAGGGGACCCCCCCTTATTTATTTTTTTTGTTTGAGGGGGGACCGGAAGTCTGTGCCCTTGTGCATTGTGTTGGACAGAACCACTCTTCTGATTCTTCTCTTTGGTCCTCCCGCCAACAGGGGGCGGTGGCAACCGGAAGGGAAAGAGTAAGAAATGGAAGCAGATGCTGCAGTTTCCCCACATAACCCAGTGCGAGGAGCTACGCCAGAGCACAGGTAAGCCCCTCCGTATCCCAGGTAGCACTGGGCACAAGCATGGGGTTATACCTTGGCAGGGATGCCAGTCCATCACTGGGCACATTATTTTTCTCTTTGTTTAATAAGGCACAGAAACACTGTTACTTTTTTGCTTCATTCATATGCTGCTCCGAGTGGTTTATAGCTAGCTAGCCGGAGGTCAGTACCACCATTGAGTTTAACCACTGTGATTCCCCCAACCCCCCCCCAATTACGTCTGTTTCTGCTATGACTTGGCAAGTGACAAATCAGTTTGTGACCTAAAGCCAGGCAGCCGTCACAAGCAGCTTCCTGGCTGGGACCATGTGGTATTGGAGCGACTCTGGGGGCGAGGTAGAAGTCAGAAACCGGGTGAAATAGGGGCTCGTGTCTGGCAGAACGGTAGAGGCTTCAAGGCCTGGGCTGGATTCTGCTTCGTCGCAGCAAGGTACAGACCCTGTGGCTGTGATCAGAAGGTTGTTGGTTCAAATCCCGGGGTCGGCAGAGTGATGTCATCATCGGCAAGGCCCTTAAGTCCCTATTGCCCCAGAGACTGTCTGAGCTGCTTCCTCAAAAAACATTTCTTTGGTTAAGCATCTGCTAAATTTGAATAAATCGCTGGACACTGGCAGAGGGATGCCTGGTCGAGGGTCTTAGTGTTTAACGTAACAAGGGATATGACTTTGTTCTGTGGTGTTTCCACCATTGCTGCTGCATGTTCCGCCTTCTCGCTGTTTGATAACCCCATAGCTTCACACTGTGATCCCTGACGCATGGCCACTTGCATCGGAGAGGAACTTCTCCATTCGGCCCGTGCTACCCGTGCCCCACCCCCCCCGGGGTTTCCGAAGTCCAGATCCGCTGGGTTCCCGGGTTCCTGCGGGTTCGATCTCCGCCTTCTGACCCAGATCTCGGTTCTGGGGGAGAAAGCCGCGGGTCCCTCGGTGGGGTGGAATTTGCGGGGTGCTCTCGTGTCGTTTTTGGGTCAGCTGCTTGCAGCTGTCACCCGAGAGAGGAAACGGTGGGAAAGAGAGGAAGCTGAAGCTTTTGGCCTTTAAGCAGACATCGGGTTTTTGCATGTCGATTTAGGTCACAGAACATCTAGCGTGAGCATTGAGCAGCAGTAAGTTAGCATGGTTAGCTTAGCTGTATATAAAGTTAGTGAGTGTGACGAGTAGCGAGTACTGCCGCCCTGAGGATTCCAGTTAGCATGGTTAGCTTAGCTGTATATAAAGTTAGTGAGTGTGACGAGTAGCGAGTACTGCCGCCCTGAGGATTCCAGTTAGCATGGTTAGCTTAGCTGTATGTAAAGTTAGCGAGTGTGACATGAGTAGCGAGTACTACTGCCCTGAGGATTCCAGTTAGCATGGTTAGCTAGCGAGTGAGCTATGAGTAGTGAGTACTTAATCTGCCATTATCAGAGGCCTGAGGAGTCCTTTTAGTACAGTAAGACTAGCTGTATATAAAGTTAGCGAGCAAGTAATGTGTAGTGAGTACTTAATCTGCAGGCCTGAGGATTCTGGTTAGCGTGGTTAGCCTAGCTGTGTATATAGTTAGAGATTGTTTAGTGAGCACTTAAATCTGTCACCATCAGAAGAGGCCTGATGCCATCAGGAAAGGGCTGAGAGATGTGCAGTTGCTTTTCCAGGAAAAAAAGGGGTAGTTTTGTGTAAATTGTTTAAACAAGCTTTCAGATTGACAGCGCTGCCTCAGCCCCAAGCTTCTGCTGGTCCGTGGTAAACCAGAGGAATTGTGCGAATTTGCACAACACTGTCTGTTGGAGGAAACCTGCGTCAAAAATTGAATAATCGTGAAATCTTTGCTTCCTGTGTGTCGAATATAGTGTCACCCTTAAGTTGTGCAATGAAACGACAGCTACTGAAAATTGCTTATATAAAAGTCGTTCAGTATAAAACTAAATGCATCAGTCCGTCTTGCAAATTTGCTTAAGGGACATTTTTGGGAGAGAATCTCAGTTTCTGTTTATGCTGTTCGCTTGTAACCATCAGTAAAGAAAACGGGAAACATCCTGTCACCAGAAGGAATTGAAAAAACTGCACTATGAAGCGTTTTCTGATTGGGTGCCGAGCCGTCTTTCTGAACTCCTGGCCAGGCCTCGTTTTATTATTAAATGTCGGAGTTATCAGTTTTCTGCCATGGATTTTATTGTAAATGTATCATATTGCTTGCTTGCACAGAAGTGTGCAAACTGCTGCCATTTGTGGGGTGTTAATAAAACTGTGGGCCGGACCATTTGAGGAGCCGGATTCTACGATGCTGATATGCTGAGCACTGCTTTCGCTTTTCTCATTTTTCGAGTTAATTCCAAAACTCTGTCAATTCTTAACCATTGTTCTCTGCGTGGGGGGTGCGTGTTCTTCCGGTGTCACACTGCGGCCCTCTTGAGCGCCAGAGACATTAAGTTAGGTTGAATGGCCTTTGAATCGCCCGTAGTGTGTGACTGTGCTAGTGTTACAGGTCACAAGATAGGCGATGGGTTGCCTGGGATGATAGAGAGGCACGTGCATGCGTGTCTGTGTGTGCATGCATGCATGCATGCGTGTGTGTCTGTGCGTGTCTGTGCATGCATGCGTGTCGGTGCGTTCATGTTTGTGGTCATTGCGTATATTACTTTGTGAGGACCAAATTGCCCCCACAATGTGATTAAAAACCTATTATGACCTTTTTGGCGACCTTTTTTTTTAAATTTTTATCCCCACAAGGGTTTACTCATTTTATAGGAAATCCGAGAATGCAGTCAAAAAACTAAAAATGTCAAAACTCTCATATTTTGTTTGGTTACTTATGGTTAAGGTTAGGATCGGGTAGGTCGTCATTGCTGGGGCTAGGGATTTGTTCCATAGAAGTGGATGAGTGGTCCCCACAAAGTTATGAATACAAACGTGTGTGTGTGTGTGTGTGTGTTTGTTATACACGCGCAAATGAAACACGGATGACAGAATTCAGCAGCTACAACCCTGTGATTCTCTATGGCTGTGAACGCCGCTTACGGTGGAAGGTACGGGGACACACGGGGAAAGGGGCCGGGGGGGCCTGTAACGGCCTGTATCAGGAGCGCGAGCTGAATGTCTGATGCACATCCGCCCATCTCCCGGCCGCAGGGTGACCTGGAGCGCGTCGCACGCAGCACAGGTCTGGGCTCGTCCATCGCTCCGACCCACATGCTGGCTGGACGGCGCTCGCAGGCGCGACATCACCGCTCATTTATACCGCTTTGAATAGAATTCAGGATTTTTCATGGCTGGCCTAGAAGTACCGTACTTGTGCGGCTGGCTCACCGCGTCGAGGCGGTGTTTGGGCAGTAAAGACGCGGCTCCTCTTGGGGTTAATGTCCAATCCCCGGATTAAACCTCGAATGCGACGTGTCACCTTGACCATTCCTCTCTCTCCTCTTCACTGTTTTGTGGTTCATGCTTTCTGCCCCCCCCCCCCCCCCCCCCCCCTCCTTTTTTTTTCCTAAAGCCAAACACCCGGGGGGGGGGGGGGGGGGGGGGTCATGTGACTTCGACCTTATTTATTCTGGATCCAGTTTACAAGCCTCTGTCCATTACGGCCCTAATTACACGCTTCTCACTGCTACCCTACACAAAGATTTACGGGACGCGTCGCCATTTTGCAATGAGTCATTACAAGAATCTCAGGCTCCTCTGTGACCATTTTTAAAGTTTTGATTTTAAATTCCTATGATTCCTCTTCTCATGCTTTTCGTGTAATTTTTACAAAAAGAAATCAAAAGCATAAATAACTTAACAATCATAAATCATGGCTTATGTCGGTAATATTTAAATTAACATATCTCAGAACATACCTCAAAATATGACGTTTATGAACATCATTAAAAAAATATTTTTCCCACCTGGCACGTTAATGAAACTTGCGTAAAACAGAATAGAGTGATTAAAGCAGTGCATCTCCATGCATCAGTGAGTTGGGAAATACAATCTCATGCGTAAAGTGCAGCTGTTCTTTCGGATGACGTCGGGCACGGCCTCTGCGGGGCCGCAGAAACTCCCTGCGAGGCGACTTGTTCTCGTCGTGTTGTTTCTTGTTCGAATGGAATCTGGCCCGCTTCGGATTATGTAAGCAGGCTGTCGCTTGAACCACACAACGGCCATTTATCGGTTGTCGCACCGATAGGCTCGATAGGCTTCCGTCCTTTGTGACTTGTACACTGTCACTGCAGCTGTAACTGTCACTGCAGCTGTAACTGTCACTGGACTTCCTGCTGGAATCAACTTCTTATCTTTTGTTGGCATTAAGTCTGGTTTTCAAGATTTTTTTTTTTGTTTCTTCTTCAGTTGTGAAGGTTGTGATTGCTGTGTATATTTGTGAAACAGAATTCATTACCAGGCGTTATGTCTGTCTTTAGCATGCGTGCATGAGTGTGTATTTATGGTTCTCGCACTCATTTCTTTAGTAGCTGCTTCTTAACCCGTGATCTGTGTATGACGGCATGAGCGTTTGCAGTTTGATGTTTGCCTCGCTTCTACGTCCTTTGGGACGAAAGCATCTGCTCAACATGTAAATGTGTATAGTTGGGGGCGTGGCGTAGAGATTTCTCCTTTTGCGGTGTTCCTCCTGTACTATTGCTGTGGCTCAACAAGTAGAGAATTGCGCTAGCGATGCAAAGGTTGTAAGTTCAAACCCTCGGGAGTGCAAACAAATTGTATCCCTTCCCTCTGCAGTGAGCTGCTTTGGGTAAATGAGTGAAACGTGTTGTGGAAACTTTGCCTAAATAGCAGTGAGTTGGTGCAGCTCCGAGTTCCTGCAGCGTTTGCAAAACTCCTGGCCCCGGAAGGACGGTGGCAGAGGCCGTAGTTATGAATCAGGCTGTGCGTGTTTCAAGTCGCTGCACGCTCAGCCTCGGTTTTGTAACCGTGCCGTTCCGTCCCCTCCCCCTCGCCCAACGGGGCTGTCAGAGCGTATCTGCAGCCGCATACCATCATGGGGGGGCCCCTCTCTGCCACTAAGCTGCTCGCCGGATCAGACCGCGACGGAGGGCGCTCCAACGCCGACCTTCCTTTTTTCCTTCATTGCATGCAGGCGCGCGGCTGCCCTAGCGATGGCGGGCCAGAGTGGCGTGGTTTTTCTGAGACTGTGCCAGGTGTGGCGCGATGGCTGGGGCTGCTTGACATGTCCCGCGCACACACGTCTGTCCATACTCAGAACAAGCCACTTCCTGTAGCTGCTGCCTTGTACCAGAAGATCAGCAGCTGAAAATGCATTATAAATTGCGACGGCTTGGCCGCAATACTGCATTTGGTGTGAATGGTGTGTGCGCCCTGTGATGGGTTGGTGCTCCATGCTGGGTAATTCCCTGCCTTGTGCTTCTAGGATTGGCTCCGGACCTCCGCGATGCTATATCGGACAAGTGAGGATGGATGGATGGATGGATGGGGCGCAGTGCATTTTCCGCAGTTGCCTTTCACTTTAATACTCCCCCGAACATAATGCCCTCCCATGCAGTCACTCCCATCTTGGGTAACATCATTGCCCTCCTGTTGTGACAGACAGGCAGTGTATTTCAGAACATCTGAAACTCATAGTGGGGGGGTGGGTCGGGGTGAGAGTGGGGCGTTGGCAGATGGTGCTTGGCTCAGTTTACTTATGCCCACAGGTGAGAGTCAATCATGTTCGATCTCCGCTGCACGTTTGGGCGTGCCTGCATGCGCGTGTGCTAATCCACTGCAGGACATTCAGGATTCTCTGACCTGCAGTGGGCTGCCGGTAACCATGGCTGGAAATGAACGAGAGGAGACGCATGGCTTTCCTTTGTGACTCGAACCTTTTCATGTGAAATTTCTGGTTGGATGTGGGAGTCAAGCAAGCCTGAGGCCATCTGGGGGTGCCGTGGAGGTCCTTTTTTGCAGATGGGGGGGGGCTTTGATGTATGGATAAAAGCAGGATGATGTTTGTGTGTTTTGAAGTAATGCAGTGAACTAAATGGGGATTTACAAGGGGTTTTCTGATTCACATTTTCTGAAGGTCAGGTGGTTTTAAACTTGTGCCACCAAGGATGATGAAGACATTGAACCCAAAACCTCAGCACTGACTGAGATGATCTTGGAAAGTCAGTATTCTCAGTCGATCTCCGAATCTGTTTTGATCGTCGTTCATTATCAGCAGAGTTGTTGCGTCAGTTTACGGTCTTCTGTAAAACCCTGAGCGGCTGCAGATCCTGTGGTTTCCTTCGGAATTAATAAAGTGATAAGTAATTAAGTATGTATCACCCTGTGCTAAACGCCAGCTGAAATCCTGCGGGGAAAAACTCGCAGCAAATGAAACGCAGCTGATTTTCAGCTCTCCGTCTCAAACCGGGGGAATTCGGGCTTCGGAAATGATGGTGATTGATGCCGCTTCGGTGGGGCTCTGTAAACGTCACCCCCTGTACGCCGCACCCCTTTCCCCAAAACATGGAATCCTGTAGGGAGTCATTAACGTTGTGAACAGCATGTTGCTTTTATTTAACCACTTCCCGTCCAAAGAAAATCAAGCTGCGGAACATCAAGTGACCTCTTTAGAAGATTTGCAGATATCAAAGGCAGTGTCCTTGCCCCCTAAACCAGTCTGGGGGCATCCCTGGCAAGGCCTGACTTATTACTGGGAGGCGACGACCAATGTTCCTTCTCACTAGACTCCGCCCTCCACCCTTACCCATAATCCTCCTGGATAACCATGCCTCTGCTTAGCTTCTGCTCTCCTCTGATTGGCTGATTGGCTTTGAGGAACACCACCAGTAATTTACCTACCATGCACCCTTGCCCAATAATTCCGTACAGGTATATATACATAGTGGTCCCGTTTGTTTTTTTGCTTCTTCTATCCGCTCATCCCTCGTTCTTCTCGTATTCCTCCTCCTCCCGATGTTCAGAGAGGGACTACCACAGCCTGTGTGAGCGCCAGCCCATCGGACGGACCCTCTTCCGGCAGTTCTGTGACACCCGGCCCGAGCTGAAGCGCTGTGTCCAGTTCCTGGACGCCGTGGTGAGAACCCGGGGGGGGGATTTGGGGTGGGTGGGATTTCTGCCTACCTTCAGCGAGACTCTAGAGAAGTGACATCACACGTCTGTGAGTGACAATAAGGGCTGAAATCACAGACGGGAAGTCTGAAAGTCAAAAGCTCGCTCTCTGCGTCACTGTCCCCGCCCCCTCTCCCCTACACCCCTGCCCCCCGGCCTTTCTCAGGCTGCGCACCCAGCTCACTTCCCCCTCACAGGAATGCTTGGGTCACACCCCCGGCCACGTTCCCACCCCATCTCTGGGGGCCCCTCTCATTATCCCCCCTCCCAATAGTAAACCTTCTGCCATCGCCCGTCCCATGCCGGCCCCCGTGTGATACCACAGCAGTCTGTTGTGATATTGCTTCCCCCCCTCTTTAAACACACACACATTGACGTCGATGCCCCCGCAGTTGTATGTGTTGTGATGTGTATTTGCATATTTTTTTCCCCCCCGTCACCCCAGTGAACGTGTCCGTGCCTCTGTTTGCGATGGCAGCCCGCAAATTGGCCTGCGATCCCCGCTTAAGCCAGTGATGTAGCGCCTCCGAGCGAGAGAGAGAGCCTGCAACCTCGGGGGAACGTTAACATGTCGGATTAAAAAAAAGAAATTGCCGGCGATTTTTCTAAAGGACGAGAGGAGGACTTCGCTATTTCTTGAGCCGCTAAGCAACCTCATGCGTATGGAAAGGTGTGTGTTTGCTAATGCCCCCCCCCCCCCCTTTCCAGGCAGAGTACGAAGTCACCCCAGACGAAGAACGAAGGGAACGAGGACAGGAGTTGATTGACCGATACTTCAGCTTGACGGTATGGTCCAAAATGAGGTACCACTTAGAGTAGGCAGCCAAGGCCCTAAACCGGCCAGCAGTGTGTGTTTACTTTGTGGCCGGTTCTGAAAGCCCATCCGAAGTGCTGATGTCGCCCCTCCCACAGTCAGACGACCATGTCCCCGAGATACCGAACGAGCTGGTGACCAAGTGCATGGAGGGCCTTCAGAATGAGGCCTGTAAGGACCTTTTCAAGGAGTGTACCAAGTAAGCCGCTCCCCCTCCTTTCTCCCCCCCGGCCACCACCTGCCACTTGGTACGCCCCGCAAGGCTGAGCTCTCATGCCCTGTCCACTGCCCACCGCAGGCTCATCCATGGCTGCCTGAGCGAGGCTCCCTTCTCCGACTACCAGGAGAGCATGTACTTCAACCGGTTCCTGCAGTGGAAGTGGCTGGAGAGGTAGGGGCGGGGCTTTGCGTCGTTGCGGGGGGAGGGGCAGATCCACACAGCTCTCCCTAATCACACCCTTCTCGCTGGTGAATGACATCTGGCTGACTAGCTGTTGGTTTTATTAGACGCTGTTTGCTGGACGACTTCCTTTATTTGTTTAATTAAGGTGACGTAATGGGACAGGCTAACCTTGGCGTGCAGCCCTTCGTTTATGTATTATGAGTCATTCTTCATTCAATTCATTCTAATTCAGCCGTCATCCCCCTGACGCTGAGCTGCTATTAGTATCGCTATTAGGGTGAAGGAATGTGAGGACGGGGGGGGGGGGGGTGTTGTGGTTGTGATGGGGGTGTGGCTTAAAGACACGGGAGGTCACATGACCTTAGACCAGCGATCTGGGATGCGCGCGCACGTTTGTCACATTGTTACCGTTGCAGCAAGATTGCTGTTGTCGGTATATACGATTAATTGTAAAGTCTACGAACACAGAGGTTATTATATGAGGCCCTGGTAGGTAGTAATCTGACTTAATCGTGTTCATAGCGTTGTAAAATTTTCGTTAAATTTTATTTTTGCATAACGTCAGAGCACTTAATGTGTGCCGGTTTAGCAAGCAGGCTGATAAACAAATTAACGTATTTAATAGCATTTAATTAGTGACTGCATTATGAGCGTTTTGGAAGGAAACCAGCGTTCTACAATTACATGGGTGAGTGTGGAGGTAAATTAGTTTAATTGGATATGAAGTGGTGGATGTGGCTCATTTTGCCGGGCTAGAACAGGGACGGGTTTCTTGTTCTTAGGTGCCCAGTCTGTGTCACCCCCAGTGTAGTGACTGTTTGTGGCCAGCAGGGGGCGCCGTGCAAATGTGGGGTTTGACTGGTGGTGCAAGTCATCAGTGGTAGTGGAAATCTGTGTTTGGGTTATGGCTGCTAACGCTAATTTCCCTCTGCTCTCCAGACAGCCCGTGACGAAGAACACCTTCCGGCAGTACCGGGTCCTGGGAAAGGGAGGCTTCGGAGAGGTATGGCCCTCAAACCCGTAACCGTTAACCCCTTCAGGCCATTAGCTGCAAGGATAAATTGCTCCTGGTTGGATATGAGTGGGGAGTTCCGTCCCGTCCCCCCTGTCATATTTACAGGGCAGTCATGAGCATGATGGTATTTCTTGCATGTTACAGTCTTTCAGTTACATAAATCTCACCGTCAGGGTGTTGGACACCTCTGGAAAAACAAGGACTGCGCGATTAGCTTTGGGTTATAAAAGGCTCCTTAGAGAGGCGCTTAAGATATTAAACCTGACATCCAATCCCAGGAGTTTCATGGTTTTTATTTCAGAGAAGAGTTTGTCCCCTGTACCTGCAGTGATGATATCTGCGTGTATAACGTGACCTAACCACCATCACGATTATATTGTAAATTATTTAGCCAAAATTGAGCGCATGTAAGCTCATAAAGGCCTTCTGTTCAGCTTGTTTGTTTAGTGATGTTGCCTCAGTTCTCTCTCTCTATCTCTGAGAGATAATTAAATCCAGGAATTTGCACGATGTCGCGGTATCTTTCGGCCCGCGTGCGTCCTGGGCTTCACCGCGACACGCCGCGGTGTGAAAGGCGAGTTTCCCCGGCCCTGCGCACTGACCTCACGCCCCAGTCTGTGTCGCCGCCGTGCAGGTGTGCGCGTGCCAGGTGCGAGCCACGGGGAAGATGTACGCCTGCAAGAAGCTGGAGAAGAAGAGGATCAAAAAGAGGAAAGGAGAATCCATGGCGCTCAACGAGAAGCAGATTCTGGAGAAGGTCAACAGTCGGTTTGTAGTGAGTACAGCTCCCCCTTAAGGATGGTTCTACTTACTGCAGACGTGCCTCTGCATGCACCTTAGCGCTGGACCGTCCGCGTTGCGCCGGGGAGCTGCGTATTACCGCGCCGGGGAGCTGCGTATTACCGCGCCGGGGAGCTGCGTATTACCGCGCCGGGGAGCTGCATAGTACCGTGCCAGGTCTGGGGTGGCGCTGTAGAGCAAGTGCTGAAGTGTGGTATGGACGTTATATTAAAAATAATTATTTTATTTCCTACTTTCCATGCATTATTTACTTGCAGTATGCAGGTACAGGTATCCGTTAATTTACATCATATTGCGTAACGTCCAATCACATTTATGGCTCATGGGAGTTTTACTTACACAATGTTCTGAGGGCAGAACGATAAAAAAAATAATTGGTTCAGAGAGATAACCAATCAGATTGTAGAGGAGGTGGGTCCAAGCAGCTAGATGAGGCAGGACCAACCAATCAGATTGTAGTGGAGGTGGGAGTCTTTATAACACCTTTATAACCTCCCTCATCCTGCCTTTCTTCGAATCCGCTTGCCGTTTTTGTCTTCACTCTGATCGGAGAGGGTAGCGAAGGTGTTCACGTGCAGCCTTTTGGTTCGGTCTCCTTTCTGACTTCCGGCTACTTTTCCCCTGGCCAATGAACGATCGGGTTGCTTTCGTGTCACTGTACGGACCAAAACCCAGCAGTGCGCAGTGGTGTGTTCGCAGTAGGTGTGAACCCCCTTAGACATCCAAAACTGCGTATACACATCACCTAGGCTCATCTGTCCACATTTATGTGTATGTACAAGTATTTTTCTAGTTCCTACATCAATCTTCTACACAAAGAGAAACCTGTGGGTTTTTTTTTTACCTTTGTGTTCATGAATATTTTTGCATTTTGAAATGTAGTGCAGTGTGTGAGTGTGGCAGTGTTTTATCAGCAGGATGAACTGCGATCTGAATACAATACTGCTTCAGTCTGTTATTATCTGTATAAACCTTAGATAAGACGTGACAAAACATAGGTGTCATAGGTGTCTGGGTGAGTTAATCCTACCAGAATAGTTAGGCCGTGCCTCAGTGTCTCTATCGCCCCCTGGAGGTGAGCCTGGCATACGCCTATGAGACGAAGGACGCCCTATGCCTGGTGCTGACCCTCATGAACGGCGGCGACCTGAAGTTCCACATCTATCACATGGGCGAGGCCGGGTTCGAGGAGAAGAGGGCCGTCTTCTATTCCGCTGAGCTGTGTTGTGGCCTGGAAGATCTCCACCGGGAGAGGATAGTGTACAGGTGAACCTCAGGCATCTGGCAAAGCCGCACCACGGACTGTTTACATTGTGGTGGTTTTTTTTTTTTTCTTACTATGTATTTTTCCTTCGTCACAGAGACCTGAAGCCTGAAAATATCCTATTAGATGACTATGGTGAGTGACACTTGTTATTTAAGTCTTACAAAAACATCGTAGAATATCCCCATGGTGCGCAGAGACGTTTGTGGTATGTAGGGAGCGGTGCTGTTACAGATTTTAGCCACTAGGGGGAGTGGAGCATGCAAAATAGTAGGGTCGATAGTGTATTCTCCCTGTTAGATAACATCACCGATGCAAAGAAGAAGCCAAAATGAGTATGAAAGCCATGTAAATTATGTAAATAAGAGGAAGCGGACATCTCTATATAGATAAAGTCTTTACTGATGAAGCACTAACCTCTGCCATTGAGGTTTTACTTAATATCAAGAGCATCTCTGTTTAATCCGCTTACGTGTCCGTCGTGTTCGTGGAGAAGGGCTCTCCTGGAGTGTCTCCGTCTGTCTGCTTCCTCTGCAGGCCACATTCGCATCTCAGACCTCGGGCTGGCCGTTTACGTGCCGGAGGGCCAGACCATCAAAGGTCGGGTGGGCACCGTGGGCTACATGGGTGAGTCTCTTGGTTTCTGCTAGTGAAATTGCACACAGGCAGAGGTGGATAGTCCAGGTCCAAAGAATAAAAATCCAGACCAAGATTTTGCTTCAACCAACCAGTTGATTATAAAGAGTCATAGTCACAGTATTCAACTGGTTGGTTGAAACAAAATCTTGGTCTGGATTTTTATTTTCTGGATCTGGACTATCCACCTCTGCAGACAGGATTCTCACGGTTCTGGATGCCCCCTAGTTCTGTTGCGGTTACTGTCTTTGTTTCTCATTCTCTCTGCACAGGCAGTGCTCTCTTTTTAATGTCTTAGATTCTTTTTGTCTGATTATGTTGTGCACAGGTAGTGTCAATCAGGGTAATTTATATGTGTGTAAATCTATGTGTTTAAAAAAAAAAAAACTTGGCAGGGGGGAAATGACCTCTCACTCTTAGGGTTAGCTGTGCTGTAAATGTGCTGAGCTGTGCTGTAAATGTGCTGTATAAGAATAAATTGTATTAGAAAATACATTTTAAAGATCAGAACCGGTTTCTCACAGGATATTATGTATACAAAGTGCAGAATGGTTCAAATAATTCCATTGGGTTTGTCGAATGTTCACCCAGACACACAAGGATGCATCTAAGTTTGCCTGTTTTTCTGGGTTTTGTGGACGAGCCGATTGGTGATTGGCTGCTCTGTTGATATGCTCAGTTCATATTTAAGCGGAGAAACCCAGCAACGTGGGAGGTCCTCTCACAATGTTATGGCTGGTTGAGGTGCAGGGTCTTCGGAGTGTCTGTTTTTAGCACACGCTGGTGATTTTTGTGCCGTGTGCAGTGACCCTCCCCTGCCTGTCTGTGTGCCTCCCCTAACCCCCTCTCTCCACTCCAAAGCCCCAGAGGTGGTAAAGAACGAACGCTACACCTTCAGCCCAGACTGGTGGGCGCTGGGCTGCCTGCTCTATGAGATGATCGAGGGCCAGTCGCCCTTCCAGCAGCGCAAGAAGAAGATCAAGCGTGAGGAGGTGGAGCGGTTGGTGCGGGAGGTGGAGGAGGAATACTCAAACAAGTTCTCTGAGGATGCCAAGTCCCTCTGCAGGATGGTGAGCATGCGGCTGCATCATCGACAGGCAGACGTGCGGCGTTCCTCAACGCTAGCATGTTCCTGCAGTTGACAACCTCAAGTTTGGATACATCCAGAATCGCATACTTGTTTACTATCCAGTAGGCAGAATGTAGTATGCAAAGTGAACAGTATGTCTGAATCCGTAGTATGGATGAGTCAATAGGCAAACAAATTATATTCTGTGAAATTCCAGTGTGTGCTACTGATGGATGCTATGCTATCGCAAAAGGCTGCTGGAGCTGCAACTAGAGACAAAGAATGTTCTTTGTGAAGATGGCGGAGGCAGTGCAGTCTGTGTACAAATTTAAGTAGAAAATACAACCGAGATACATAAGATGATTTAATTATGTATTTTTTCGTAGATTTTTTAGTTGAAAATTGTTAAAACCAAGTTTCAATGTCATTGTTAAACATCCGGGTCTGGTAATATGCAGGATGGTGGTGGCAGTACAGCATCCCTCAGTGCATGCATAATGTTCTTATGCATATATACAGTATATACTACATACAGTCAAGTAGTAGGTTTATAGTAAAATTCAGTGCCTACTGTGCTAAGTGTGTGATTTCGGAATCAAACTTTGATTTTCATTTAGATAATTGCTGTTAAGACAAATGTGGCTTCGAAAGTTGCAGTGGGGTGGAATTAACCTGCCTGTCAGTCATCGACTGACGTAAACCAATGGAAATAAAGTGGAGGATTGTGGCTTACAGCGCCCTGATTGGCTGCAGCTGATTAATCCCAGCTCCCCCTCCCTTGATTTCCAAACCTAATTTCTCCCATTACTATTACTCCTAAACAGTTGCTGGCCAAGGACCCCAATGTCAGGCTTGGCTGTCAAGGTGGTGGGGCCGCAGAGGTCAAAGCCCACCCTCTCTTCCGGTCCATGAATTTCAAGCGTTTGGAGGCAGGCATGCTTCAAGCCCCCTTCATCCCCGACGTGAGTCGCTTTCTGAATCCATCCTGGCTGTGGGCGGGGTATCTAAGGGGGTTTGTGACTGAGTCTCCTATATGCATCGTCGCTTTTTTGGTCCATGTTGTCTGTGGGGGGTGTCTGAGGGGCTTTGTGACTGCTTTGAAGACCTACACCAAATGTTTCCCACAACTAAAGGAATAAATTCCCTCCTTTGTGTGTGTGTGGGCATACATAGCCGCAGGCCATCTACTGTAAGGATGTGCTGGACATAGAACAGTTCTCCACCGTCAAGGGGGTGGAGCTGGAACCCAAGGACAGCTCCTTCTACCACAAGGTCTCCACGGGCAGTGTCTCGATCCCCTGGCAAAATGAGGTATGAACATCCCCCAGCCCCCCGAACCAAGAATTTCCAGTCCCTGTTGTACGTCTAAACACTTGGATGTTTCGATATTTGAACTCCTTTATAAAACGAGCTGTTGCCCCGAGCTGAAGACTGTAGGTTACTTTATGTAAGATTTAGTGATCTGGTCTCATAGCTTCTAATGGAGATCCTTGAAAATCTTTGCCACCTCCTGCAATCCATTTCAAAGGAGATAGTGGAAATTGTGGCAGCTCCCAGTAATTCCAGACAAGAGGGCAGGTGTACGTATCAGCCCGTGATTCATTTCCTTCGAGGGCGTTCTGTGGATGTGGTCCAGGAAGTTCCAGCTTTATAAGGTAGAATGAGGTGGATCAAACTGGATAGTGGCAATTCACATAAACACATTAAGAATGTGGGTGGATATCACTGATGCTGTCTGCGTGGGCGTCCCCCCCCCCCTCCCAAACACTCCCTCGTCCTACTTACCGTTGAGTATTTTCTCAAGAAACAGGATACATTGTAGACATTTTGATTTCTATTTTCGTACTCGTCTAACTATGATTCATAACGGCATTAAGTACTGACTTGTCAGCCCTTTTTTTTTAGGTAATTAGTTTTAGGAAAAGCCAGAATTTTAAAGTTTCAATATGCTGATCTCAACAGTGGAGGTTGTTCGACATTAAAGATTTGCGTTAAAGTGTTCTGATACTAAAACTCCTTTTTAATAAACTCTTCATGTGAAAGATTCAGGATAGAAAGCTTAGTCAGTGTGTGGTACTTCCTGTCGGTTTCGAGAAGAAACAGGAAGTGTGCTGTGATTGGGCTTGTAATATCACTCCTGGCTAACGAAACACCCCACACACCAAAAGTGGGCCAGTTGCTCTGGAGGAACTTTTATTTTGCACAAATGTTCTCTCACACCTTGTATGGGGGTGAGTACACTTTCCGAGTCCACGAGTCCATATTACAGTAATGACACCAGTGTTGTGGATATTCATTCAGTGGTTGATATGTCCTCCTCACAGATGATCGAGACTGAGTGCTTTAAAGAGCTCAACATGTTACCTATGGATGGGTCAGTACCTCCTGATATGGACTGGAGGAACCAGCCTTCCCCCCCACCCAAAAAGGGGCTGCTTCAGAGGCTCTTTGGGCAACAAGTAAGAACCCCCCCTCCCATCCCTCCTCACCATTCTTTACTTTATGGGAAAACAAATTCTCATTTTTGTTTTCATTTCCTGCTAACTTGCCAATATGTATTTGAAACTAACCGGTGCTCTCTGCTGCCCCTTAAGGGATGCTGTGGGGACTGCAGTGACAGCGAGGATGAGCCCACAAGACTGTGAGATCCAATTTCACCATGAGCTGCCCTGCCCCCTCAGAGAATCCAATATGTTTACAAATTTTGCACATTTGTATTTTTAAAATAGAACTATCTAAATATGGGAATGTATATTTTCAGTATATAGCCATACAGTATATGTTATTTAAAAACTAAAAATACGGCAAAAAAAAAATTATACCGTCCATCTACCTAGGGTTTGGCAAACAACCTGTAGGTCAGCGATGCTAAACGTCGTCTCGTCTCAAGTACCCTCTTTGTGAGTAGTCAGTTCTGCAGGCTTTTAAAGATTTGTTCTTTTTTTTTATGACCATTTTTGCAAAGCAAAGTGATTCGTATGCTCAAAACTGCAATGCTTCTGCACTTCACAGGAGGGGAGTGCTGTTTAACGCCATTTATTTTTCTGTTACAGTAAGATTTCAGTTTAATGTGAGGAATGGATGACTGGGTATTTGCTGTAGGCCTTTGTCATTTTCATATTATTTTATTCTTTTATTTGGGTAAATTTGTTTGCTCATTCATCCTAAGCTAGTGTGCCATAATTACCGTAACCACGACTCGGTCCCTGCCTAGCTGAGTGCCAAATCACCGCTTGCTCACTGTTGGTTTAGCCAGTTGTTGTAAAACCGCATCTTCCCCATTTAATTTTAGTTGTTATCATCCGTGCACTATAATAATGGTGATTAGCATTTGCAGGAAGTGTGATTTTTTTTTTTATTTTTTATTTTTTTTTTTTTCTCTAAAGTCTGTCTGCATACTGATTATTATCAGTGTATGAAGATTAGAAAAGAAGCATACAGTTTGATGTCTGTCCAAACACAGCCAATATATATTTGTACCTGTTGTACAATTCAAGGCGTGTGTGGTGCTGACAGGCTTTCCTTCTGACCAATTATCCCACCTCAACATTGCAAGCAAATAAGTTCCCTGTGTCTTTAAGACTGTGTAAGACCTTTACCGTTATGATCTATACTCACACTCTTCAGGTAACTCACCCCTACCTCTGCTTGCCTCTGGGTCCTCAGAAGCACATTCCTCAATTGGTCTTCTGTTGTAGTCCTTCACTCTTTGGTGAGTCACTTTTAGGTAATTCAGGGCCTAGTTCTTTTATGTGCAGGAGGAATATCTTAGGATGGTTGATAGCGTATGTTTTTAGGTCACGCGGGACTGAGTTTGCATGTCTTGGAGCAACACTTTGTGTGACACTTTCCCAACTTCATGCCTACTTTGTTTGGTCGATTTACTCGATGTCCTGTTTTATTTCATTCACCCTCGAGGGCCATGAAACATGGAACTTCTGACTCGACACCTTTTATGTCCCTATTTTTCCACTTCTTCCATTTGCAGTATGGTGTGGTTTTCACCGGTGAAAGAATCTCCTTGTCACTAGTGTTTTTTTTTTTTTTTTTGGAAACTGTCTCATCTCACATTCTAGTTGGGAAATGCCTTAATGTCATCAACGACGTATTAATGATGCCAAATATGTGCCAGCATTCTCCCCTGGAAGGTGCAGGGCCATTAAAATCCTAGGACACTGTGGCCTGAGGTTGTCCCAGCCGGACATTTTGGCGCCACATTTCCTTGTTTTAAACGCGTCATGTTGAATTCGTTATTTACATATTTACTTTCTGGCCATCGGCAGGTTCTGCTTTAGAAGTAGTGGAGTGGTATAACTTATTCCACGATGGACTTAAGAGAGCTATTTGGCTCTCTCTGCAACTATCTGGACCATCCACATTGATTTAGACCCTCGATTTATTTTTCATTTCCTTTAGTGTCTTCATCTGAGTAAGACTGGAGTGCTTTGTCATCAAGTACCTGCAACCTTGAGTTTTTGAACTGCAGAAGCTCTTATGGGTTTAGAGAGAGGTTGCCAGCCCACTTGAACCTGTCAGCTTCTGGCCTTTCCAGCAGCCTCGTGCCACGTTTTGTATGAGTACTTATCACAGCCAGCATCTGAGGACTGTCTGTCCTTCTTTGGACAAAGCCTCAATGTTTAATTCATGTCCGGGCAGCGGTGACTAACCCTCTTTGCGTCCGCAAGAGTCCGAAATTGTCGGTGCCATCAACGGTTGCCCGTCTGGCCTCACTCCATCTTGACAGAAGTTGGATCCACGCACAAAACGGTCTTTGTCCAGCTTCTTCAGAAGGCCTGGTAAAAAGCTGGACTGTGGGGTTAGGATTCCCACCCAACACCACAGATGAAACACATTTCTGGGGGGTGATGGTCTAAGCCCAGAAACCCGCCATCAAAGTTCAGTGAATGCTTAGTTTTGTTCTGAATCTTAAATCGGTTTAGTGTTACCTTGGGAGTCTCACATCTAACATTACTCCAGTCCTTTAATTTTGTGAAAATCTGAGATATAATTTTTGGAGTCTGCTTAAGCTATGACCGCTAATCAAGTAGGAATATCACACGATTTAACCGGCCAATATTCGCTAGTTCGGGCAGCTTTCACCAAACTTTCATTGAGTGGCTTCTCATTGCCCAAGAACTCATCCTAAATACATAACTTGTAACCTCCTCTTGTCCACTTTGATGGCTCAATTTGGAAGCAACCGAACACTGTCTTAGGCTTCAGTAACCATACAACTGCCTATCCAGTCAACTACGGGTTATAAGCCTATACTGTTAGGAGTACTAACTTGTACCTTTGCTTGTCACTAGGGCTGTACCCTCAAGGGGTCTGCCAATTGTACCCTGTACGTGTATGTAATGGTACTTTTTAAGGTACAGGAATGGACTCTGAGGAACATCCCCAAGGTACAAACAGCATTAATGTATCCCCAATGATACAAATATGTTCATCATAGTCCATTTCTGGATCTTAAAAGGTACAAGCACCTACAGCTGAGGGTACAATTGGCAGATCCTTGAGGGTACAGCCCCAGTGACAAGCAAAGGTCCAAATGAGTACTTTTTTCTGAATGTACTGATATTAATATTATTCGGCTATTTCAACTTCTTTCTGCCTCCCTTGACTGCTGCTTCATGAAATCGCACAATCTTTGTGCCCGTTTAGTCCACTGGTTTCCACCTGGTAAAACCAGACCTTTCCCTGGGATTCCTTGTTCCCAGATCATTGCCCAGTACACTAGAGACGTCCAGGATGTCAAAATCTGTTAGTGTGGGACTCTTGTGGGCGCCGTTGTCTCAATTCTGTTGCCAAAACTTAAAATGGTGCCCTGATTTCAACTTCTAATTGATGGGACGTTTAATGACATAACATTCCAGTGAAGTGATGAAATATGACGACTGGACTCGTTACAACCTTGTCTGATTGTTAATTCAGGAGAAACTGAACTCCACACATTGAACAGCTTGAAGGATTTTACTCCTAAAAGTACATATCTCATTGTAAGCTAGTTTGTTGCAGTATTCAAACAGCCTGGGACCAACCTCCCGGCTCAGTCATACAAGGACATCGACCATATATGGTGTAAGCACCATGATAGGCATATCAGTACTTTAAGTTGACCAGTAAGCATCAGTCTACCTCTTATTTCTATGATTGATCACTCATCTTCCAAGAGCATCAACTTTGTGGGATATCGGAGCCAGCAGACAATCAAAACGACATGATGATTATAACAAAAAAACACTATAGTATACAGCTTTCAAGCAATAATATAGTTTTCTTATCCCATGCGCCATCCTCCTTGCAGTTATATGTAGCTAGATTGTTTTGCGAATAATGGCAAACCGTCAAAAAAAAAAATGCACAGCAGATCTATGAAAGTGTTGAGCATCCTGGCACTTAGCTTTGCAAAAAGAAAGAGGAACGTAATCAGTTTGTATTTCGAGAAGCACAGACACTGTTTAACACTACTGCTTTAGCAGTAACATAGTATACCAGAAAGAACAGGCGGGAATAGATTTTAAGGTTGCATTTTTTTTATCCAAGTTTGTGGTTTCACTCCCGTCGATCTGATGCCAAAATTCAGTAATGTGTCAAAGTAACTCTCGTTCTAGAATTTTCAATTATTCATTAACTTAGTCTCTTTTTAACAGTGTCCAGTTGCATTTAAAGCCAGTCCCTTGTTTCTAAACATTGTTTCAGTTGTCTGCTTTAAACTGTTAATGTACTTTTTAGACCTTTCATTGTAGACTTGTTATTCATTGACGGACTTGGGGAAGTGAGGTTTGGTTTTGGTTTGGTGAGGGTTGATTTGGCGAAAGTAATTGGGTATAAACCCCCCCCCCATTTCTTTTGTAATAATTAATTTCCCTAATTGGGTTATATTAGCAAAATAAGACCTGTCAAATTTTGCATGTAAAAATGTATTTCATAATTGCAGCCATGTAGATATTTTTTTGAAAATTATAAGGCTTTTTTTAATTTATTCATTAGGAAGAGTATGAAAGAGCACGTTTATTTTCTGCTTAACTTCAGGCGTTCATTTTCTAAGTACACCTTCATTTACACCTTTCAATGTGCCTTTTTTCTTTTTAAGGAATCATTTAATTAGTGTTTCAGTTTCACTGCAGGGTTGGGGGAATTGCCAGCTGTAGAAAGCGATTCTGCTTGGCGCCCGGGTTCCCCCCCGACGCCTGACTGAGCTGTGATTACATGTGCGTTACGTCCCGATGTCAGGATAGCGTGAGACTTCTTGCCTTTTTTTTTTCTGTTTTTCTTTTCTCCTTTTTTTAAATTTTATTATTTTTTTTAATTATACATGACTGAGCCAGTAAGACGATAATGCTGGGGAGACTGGGACAAATTCCGGAATTCTGGAAGTTATCAATCCTCAAAAGAGGGGAAAAAGAAAAAAAAAGCGAGTCGATCTGTCAGTCACATTTCCCATCTCGGATTTTAACTTGACTACATTCCAATTTTTGCGGTACTGTACAGTGTGTAAATGATTCTAATTTTATTTAGCAATAATTGTTTTTAAATGTGTATATATATATATATATATATATATATATAAAAAAAACTAAATACTAGACTGAAATGATTTCTCCCTTTGCTGTGTGTTGCTACTCCTGAGTCGGGCTTCAACACTGTGAAGTATGTACGAGGTCATGCGTGTGTCCTGTCACGCCTGTGCGCAGATCACTCTGCTATGCACTGATTTAGCACGCGTGTCTGTGTGTGGTGTACATGCGTGTTTGCCCTGCTGTGTAATAAGCGTGCTTGTTGTGTTCATGACCATTTAGGAGAGCCCTGTCTGTGTTCCCGTGAATTGAAACGACTGCACACGCATAGGTGGACCCCCCCCCCCTCCAAAAAAACAATTAAATATTCAAAAATGAGACCTTAAGCACAAAGACACAAGTTTTGGGTTTGGTACTGTTTCAGGAGTATCGCATCACAAAACCCCTCCCTTTTACCTCACTTTAGGGGAGCAGTTACCCCATAATGACCATTGGGGGGCAGCATGCTTGATACATGAATAGAGTTTGCTTTCTGTTTCACCCGAGTAACTTCCTATATGTATCAAGCGTCCGTTACTTGTCGTAGGAGAGCATATCCTCTCGCTAGAATTTTATGTTCTGTTTCAGGAGTCTTTCAATATTCGTTATGTTAGAATAACTGAATTGTACCACTTTTTGTTTCATTTCAGTGTTACTTTCATATGTGATGCTCTTTTCATTGACTTTTCCTTTTAATATGTAATAAAAATATCCGCCGGCCAATTACACGGTCCGTAGGCTACAAGAAAGTATTTTCCTAATAAAACTTTGGGCCTCTTATTAATGTGACTGTGAGTCAGATATATATTGTAGGTGTATATGAATCTAATATAGATTTTTATAGTTGCCAGGTTACACGTTAAAAATATGTATAATCTAAGCGAAAAATGTTTTTTATGTGGAGAATTTTAGTGATTGTTTGCCAACATGTTCTTGTCCGTGCTGTCTGCCGTAATTTTGCCAAGCTTTTTGCGCGTCCTCTCTCTCTGGAAGCAGATACTTAAAAAGATAACGCGAACGGAGAGCGGAGCCGTAAAGTGTGAATGGCAGTGTGCTGAGCCTAATACTGATTAAAAGGAGACTTAATAATCTGGAGATAGCTATTTAATAATTATCTGAGGCTAGCTACTCGCACATCCCAGGTTTCTGCTGGTTGGTGAGGTGCTGTTGAGGTACCGGCACAAATATTTTGTCGACTGGGGGTAGGAGTTTCGGTGGTAGAACTTCTCACCGGCTAATTTTACTGCCGCAGATTTCCGGGACATTGTGCGTCATTTTCAGGTGTCGGGGAGCTGCCATGAATTTGCGGGAGACTCCCGGAACTTCCAGTGGAGGTGGGATGTCTGGCTAGCTATTTAATCTGAAGCTAGCACGCTCGGTTCACAGGGTAATCTACTCTGCCTGCGTTTTGCGAGCAATGGCCGTGATAGTACAGCGTTCACTTTATATGGCAAACATACAGTGCGTGATGTCAATGAAGTGATGCCGTCGAGGTTGGGTCTAGGGGCATGATGTCGGCTCAGATCTGTTTTATGACGAGTGCTACTCGATCTTTCTGTTTTTTTGTTTTTTTTTTTCTTTCTTTCACCTCCCCAATGTAAATGTAACATTTCAGCCAGGACGACTCTGTGTTATAGAAGAGGCTGCCCATAGAACTGCCCATATCGGGGGTGGGGGGGGGGGGGGGGACACTCGTGCATAAGATGTCTTGAATCCAGCCCCCCTGAGGCCTCTGCTAATAGGGGGTTTCTGCATCTAAATGAACTTTGGGAAAGCCCGTATCGTGCCAAATGTTTCTTCACTCACATGAACCGCTGGTGTTTATTTAATACTTTTAGCTCATGGCTAAAAGCCTTTTGCAAATGTTTTTTTTTTTTTTTTGGTTTCTTTTTTGCCTTTGAAATGGAGACCGAACTCCTTTATTGGGAATCCGGTTTCTCTCCGTGTGTGTACAGTGCGCACCTGTGTTCCCTAAATGGAGATGACATCAGCAGCGAACAATAAAGGAGGCCGGCGCTATATTGTTCGCCGAACGTCTTAGCATTCCAGTGTCAGAGCTTTGCGGCCGTAACGTGGGACACACGAGACGTGTCTGCCCCCGGATAAGGAAGCAACATTATCCTTTAAAAATTAGTTCCTACCACCGACTAATGACACCATTAGTGACCACCACTGACCATGACCTCATGACCATGACCTCATGACCATGACTCGCTGAACCATGAACGTGTGGTGTGGCATTTAGCTTGTCGTCCTTCTCCGTTTCCTTTGGTTTAATGGAAACCTACTGAAACGACAATAATAAAGACACTTATACTGTTTTTCTGCATGTTTAAGTGCCACTTTGGCATGTCTTGTGCCTTCTGTTGGTTATGCTTTTGGTCCAAATGAGAAAGCGCAAGAACAGCGTTGAGTATTTTTCTTTTTGGCTTAGAGCGGCAGTTCGTGTCCGCTCGTTTCTTCTGGATGGTTCCACCGTCCATATTCTGCTAGCAGTCCGAGGAAGGGAAATATGCCAGTCAACTGAGTGCTCAGCTCTTCTGTAGGAGTCAGTAAACCTTTCCCTTGGAGAGCCGCTGAGGACGATGGCTGGTCTGGTGACCATGTTGACGACAGCGCTCATCTGATACACGTGTCCATCTCTACCGCTCATCTACTGGGTACCACAGATGTCGACAGATACCTTGTCGGTGCCTCTGACTGAACATTTGTCATTCACACTGGCTGTGTGATTCACCTTTCAGATGGGAAAATGTGTGTGTGTGTATGTTTGTGTGTGTATGTGTTCCTCCCTTTGCTTATTCATCAATTTTTTTCAATAAAAAAAATATATATGTAATACTGTCTGGACTGCTTTTGTCTTTTTTTCTGTTTTAGTCCTATATCCTGAGCACTAGATGATTTTCCTACATCCTGAGCACTAGACGATTTCTTGTGTCTCTGCCTCAGAATACCTCCCTGTCTCGTTGCCTTTTAAATGTGATTTGTCATTCTGTTGGCGGAGGAAGTTTTTGTTCCCTGAAGAAGTCAAGGGTGACCAGTAGCAGTGAATGGCTCAACGGGTTAGAACACTGTGCCTGTAACCGGAAGATTGCCGGTTTAAATCCCAGGGTTGGCCGACTGACTGCACCGTTGGGCCCTTGAGAAATGCTCTGCTCTGCTAAAAAAAATATGTGTCACTCTATAAAATGATCTGTTAACTACAGGTAAAATTGGTCAGGCCGCCGTGCCCAATGTCAAGATTGCGTCCTCCGACTTGCATCCCCGGATCGTCGCCGCTCTTCACCTAAGCGGTCACAGCTGCCTCCTGGCGCCCCCCACCATCTCCACCAGCCAACCCGTTGCCAGGCAACCCGCCTAAGAGGGATTTCAGGGAAATAAATAACGTTGCATGTTTAACAAAAAAACGAAAAAAAAAACTTGTTAAATATTGAAAAGCACCCTCTGCTAAATGCTGCCTCCTGAGACCGGGGATGTTCTGCTCCCCAAAAACGGGATGGGATGCCGTCAAAAAAATATGCTGCCTAGGCAACCGACATCCTGACATGCTAACAACATATTGTTGGGCTTTTTAAACTGATGACTGATGCCTAAGGCTGTCATTCCTCCCAGGGGGTTCAGCCTTCCTATTAAACGGCTGAAGGGGTTCAGTACGAATGTAGAAGCCTCCTAAATGAACAATTAAGGCAACAATTATAAGCGTCACTCAGTCCTGGCTGTCGCGTCAGAGAGGCTCAGATTGCTGCTGCGTTTGAGTGTGAATCGCTCCATTATTGTTTTTTCAGTCATGGAAGATGGAAACTGGGGTCCACTCAGATCCCCGTGCTTGGGTGACTTTTGGAGCACCGTTAAAAATCCAACGATGAACAATCACAAAATTAATTGCAAATACTTTTGAGCGAATTTATCCATGTTTTTTCTTCCAAGACAGTTTACGCCAACGTTTTTCAAAAGCAAAAACGTTCAGAAGCAAAACGTTTCAAAAGCACAAACGTTCCGCGGTCCATGGACTTAGTTGCGATTAACCACAAGGAACCTTCAATATAATGCTACGGCAAACTGCGCAAAAAACAGTGAGCAAGGGGTAGTTTTAGTGCCTTTTATCTAACGTTTGTCCTCTGAACACCGTCTACTGTGCTTTGGTTTTTCTGTCTCAAATGTCTTTGTGATTTGTTCAGTTCCCTTGATTGTCATGCCTAAATCGTCAGTCCACTGTAACTTTACATATCTGATGTTATCGTCCACACACACACACACACACACAGACACACACACAACCGTGCCTTCAGGAAACTCTCATCAAAGACAGGGCTGTGCTCTTTGGAGACCTCGAGGAGGCACACCAGGACCCAAAGTAGCAGGGCTAGGTATTATTCATCGTAATTATTATTATTGTCATTTCCTACCAGGCTTCTTTAGACAGCGGATAATTTTCATCTCTTTTCCGCTGGTTTATCTATCCACTAAAATGACACTTTTTCGAGGGCACGGTGACCTTTGGGGATCTTGATCCAGCAACTTTTTTTTTTTTTTTAGAAAGTGCTATTCTGTCCTGCTTTACCACTGACTCCTTTCACCACCCCCACCGGAGTCTTAGCCATTGGCCGGCAGAGGGGACTTGACTCGTAACGGCAGAGGGGACTTGACTCGTAATGGCAGAGGGGACTTGACTCGTAACGGCAGAGGGGACTTGACTCGTAACGGCAGGGAAATGCATGCCGTGCTAATTCTGCTGTAAATCCTGCATTGATTACAGCTTGAAGAAGTTTACTGTCCTCCATTTCATTTTTAAGACCACGAAGCCATTCAGAAACCCTGACTAAGTGTGCCCACCCATAGTCCACAGTGTGGGAGTCTACGTCAGAGTGACCCCCCCCCCCAACTTCCCAAGATCTTCTGGTGTCATCATCGCCTCTGTATGCCAGCAGTCTGTGATCACATGGGCTTTCCTGCATTGTGTCACACCACAGATCAGATTCCAGATCAGTCAGGCCACATTGTCCACGTAAGGGTCCACGTAAGCCCCCCCCCCCCAGAATTTGTCCCGTCACCCAGAAAGCCTCGTTTGGATTCATCCCCAATAATTCCCACTTGTCACATTGTTCTGAGTCACTGGATTCCTCGGTCTGTAGGATGCAGGATGAACTGGCTTATTCGTCACATGAGAACTGATGAGCATGAGTCTGGCCGCAATCTGCAAGTAAACGACCCGATCTGGTACCGTACAGTATAGTTCATGCCTACGAATCAGCTGTTTTTAGTCTGAGTGAAGCTCCTTTGCCATTTATTAAAACTTGTTTTCTTTTCCCTACTTCTATTCATGTCATCTTTTAAGACACATAGACAGGTATAGAGGTGAGAGTGAAGCTTGGGCTCCAAACTCGGGGTCAGCTGTCCATCCAGCAGCTCTGGAAGCACTTCTTGGTGGTTCAGGACACGATGGAGATGTAGCTACTCTGCTGAGCATGGGATTCGAATCGGCGACTGTCCGGTCACCAGCACCACATCCTAACCCAGTGAGCCACACACTGCCCCCGTAGACTGTCCATCTACCCGGACAATCAGCATCAGCATATTTTCGAGGGCCGTTGATAATGTGACTTTTAAATCATTTTTGAGGTTGTAGAGTTTGTCTGTTTTTTTTTTTTTTTTTAAGGATTTCTGCAACTTTCTTGTAGATGACATCTTGAAAGTTCAGCCTGTACTTCACGGACTCCACAATGGAGACCAAAGCAGCAACTTCAAAGCTTGCCTCTGATCTCTTGTTATACTTCAGCGGAACACAAAGAGTGATCTTGTTTATTTGGGAAATCAAGGTCCTTGAGGTCGCAGGGGGTTGGAAAAGTGTAGAACAACAAACCCAGAACAGTCAGGAATATTCAAAGTCCAAATAATGCATCGAGATAACGCATCAGTGGTGCTATTTGACATCAGTTTAATAAATTAATGTCAGATGGCAGAAATTAAATGAGTAACATATGCACACACTTCTCTCCAAATCCTCGCACGACATTTGTATGCATATTGCTTCCGCAAATGCAAATCCATTTATAGCACCTATATAGCTATGGTTCCTTGATGCTTCTAAGTGCAGATGCGTTCCTTTCAGCAGCAGGGACTGTGGTCTCTGTAATCCCCAGAGTAATCAAAATGACCGTAAGCAAGAAACAGCCCATACAATCAGCAAACTTGGGTATGTGTGCGGCCATAAATGACAACTCTTCTGATAAACTCCGGTATGACTCTGTGACTGCTGCAAAGGAAGTGGTTTCAATTGGTATCGGAGCAGCTCCTACACGCCTTTTCAACGTTTGCACCTCTAGGCAAACATCAAGAGTAGCAAATAGCGGTGAAGCAGAATAACATCGGTCCTGGTGCTGTCCAGAATGCCCCAGTCATCACGGGGGTGGGTCCCGGGGACCTTTTGCCCCATTCGGGCTGAGCAGGTGGAAAGAACAGTCTGCACAAATGTAGCGTCGCTGCTGCATTTGTGAACTGAGCAGGTGAAGTTTAAGGGGCGGTCAGTTGATATCGGGTATAGACCTTAATTGCTGACAAGGCGTTAAATGTCATGTGTGTAGGAGCAGACTGTGAAGCAATGGGAAACCCCCCCCCCCCCCCATGAGAAACATGCAAAAGAAAGTGGAAAATCCCATGTTTTTTTTTTTACATTTATTTTCAAGACCAAGTGAGAAAAAAAACAACTCATATTGTCCTCCCTGTGCTTAATACGTACTGTGGAAAGCAGTAAAGGGATCCAGAATTAACTTATCCTGACTCCGAAACCACTACCCGAACCTGCACTTGCTTAGCATGTTGCTAACAGTGCGTCAAACCTTCTGTGAACTCAACGCGATTCTCCAGGATCTCGGTTTTATTTTATTTTTTCAGTTGAAGTAGCGGCGTCGGCAAGAGCAGGTGCGCAAGCGATGACCGCCGTTTCATTTATAGCGTTTATGTCAGCGGCGCGTCGTCAAAGGGGCGTCTGAGGACTGTTTCTTGTCATAACAGTTGTCATGGCAATACCTCAGCTTGGCCTTTATGTTCGAGCGTGCGGCTCAGATTTCTAAATGAAGGATAAGACGGTTTGCCTTAAAAAAACCCGGCTGAAGAATAAAGCCCTATATAGTGATTTTCTTTGAAGTTATGCATCGTCTGTCAGCTTCCAATGAAAGAAAAAAAAATCCCTCAAACTCACTAGATAGCCTTCCTTTTTAAGATTCCCGATCTGCTAGGAAAAGATTCTCTGGCCTTGGTGTCTGATCCATACAGCCGACCTTGCAATCTCCTTCTCCGGTTGCTTCGTTCCTCAAACGTTCATGAGGACCCCTGTGGTTTGGATGGCTATCAGAACCGCCTGGCAGGTAGACGTAGTGGGTGACAGGATTTATTGGAAGTAAATACCTTTTCAGAGACAGATGGCAGTAGGGTTCGGGCCAACATTGTACTCAATGAGTCAAGGAGTTTGGTTAATGGGGAAATATGAACATGCTTAGAGCTTTTGTCGGAATGCCAGAGTATTAAGGGTCTTCAGTGTGTACAAAGACTGTATTGACTTCAGGTACACGACCGGCATGGAAAATGACACGGGCTCTTCTGGAATGTTCCCCATTGGGTGGATGTTGTACTGACACTTCTTTGGCGTCGTAAGAGAAGCAGAGGTCAGTGAGGGGTTTGGCACCCTATTTACAGGTTGTCCCCCCGGGTATTGCAGCCCCCTGCACAGCCAATCCCAGCCCTGCTTCTTCTGTCTGACATCCCTGAAAGGACAGAATGAAATCATCATGTTGTTAAGAATATCAGAGACAGTCATTTGTAAGTGTGAATTTGCAAGTATGAATTCAGTGCCATAAGTGAGTGGTGTAAATTCCCATACATATAGCACAGGGGGAACTGATATCGTGATTGTCATATGGACGTGGTTTTATGAACAGTTTAATACCCCCTCAAAATTTTGTGGAACTTTCCAGAACATGTCACGGACCCCTAAATCTATACCCGCTGCCTGGATTGGGGTGAGCTCAGCGGAACTGGTGCCACTGGAAAGGCTGCAGGCTGGTTTGAGGAGCACGAGGATGCTCTTCGTGCCAGGAATCTGACGTCCCATTGGCTTCCAGATAGTCAGGCCTCCAACGAGTCGCATGTCTATGGGATTGTCTGGTGAGGTACCAAATCGCAGCAGTCCCAGTCACGACCACACCAGAGGAGACCGGAGGGAATCTTTCCAGGTGAGATGATTCCAACCCCCCTGTCGTCAGTCCATTCCATTCCTGGCATTCCAAGCAGCTACGCAGCCGTAGAGAACTGCAACTGGAAGTCGGAATGAAGTACACATTCTCATTAAAGCATAAAAAGATGACAGGAAGCAGACGAGGGACTACTCTTCATGTCCGAAGCAATGACACTAGAGATACAGGAGCTCTGTGTGCAAAGGGGTTAATTTCACTGGCTTATCTATCTAAAATCTGCATATTTCAAAAGGTCAACAGCAGTGACATGCTAAAAACTGCGAGCGGGAGCCTTTAACTGCCTTCCAGTGCTGCTGCGATATGGAGCGCACAGTGCTTCCATTGTGCCATCGCTCAGGCGGCCCGCTCTTTTGCGAGCGTGCTATGAATCATGCTCTACACACAAGTGGCAAATAAGTGTCATTTTTACGATGAATGCATAACGATCTTACTGTTCGGGGGCCGGACGCGGCTGCAACGGGGCTCGGCGCGCAGTCGGAGCGGAGACCCGCGCTGTGGAGTCACGAGGAGAGCGTCAGCGATACGCAGCTGTAGCGCCAGATTTCAACGCCACGGTGACGTCATTCTGACGTGAAGCTGAAGACTAGGGCACTCTCTGGGTTTGAAGTTAAACTAGGGACTGCTGCGTGGGTCTGCTTATTATAATTTGATAAGATAATAAGTAATTGTATTGTTAACACATGCATCAGTGGTCAAGTTGTAGCCTCATGCTTCAAACCAGCTTCAGCTTTGTGTATGTATGTATGTATGTATGTATGTATGTATGTATGTATGTGTGTGGGGGGGGGGATAGATGGATAGCGTACGTGTATTTGACACTGTGGGGGCCAAATGTCTCCTCAATGTGATAACACACTGTTATTTTGATGTTGTGTCGTGGTGATGGGGGGGAGGGGGTACATATGACATTGTGGGGACTAAATGTCCCCAGAATGTGATAAGAAACTGTTATTTTGATATTGTGGGGACAAGGGGAAACACAATATTATAAAAATATGTGTCTGCAATGAAGAAAGATAAAACAAATTTGGAAAGTTCGTGTATTTTGTTTGGTTAAGGGTTGGGTAGGGGTTGGGTAGGGGTTACGGTTGGGTTAAGGTTAAGGTTGGGATTAGGGTTTTTCCCAATAGAAATTAATGGAAGGTCCCCAGAAAGACATGAATACAAACGTGTGTGTTTGTGTGTGTGTGCGTGTGTGTGTGTGTGTGTCTGTCTGTGTCTGGGTCAGTTGCCCTTAAAGCATGACAGCTTTGCGGTGTGACCTGAGCTTCCTGCAGTATATGACCTTAATTAGATACCAGATACTTGGGTCACGTGGCTCACCCGTATATATTCCGTACAATTAATGAATTTGGTTATCATCTGCGAAGGTCCAGACTGGCATCTAACAGAACGAAACACCAGTTAATAAGGCTATTATTATTATTATTATTATTATTATTATTATTATTATTAAGACAATTATTTAACAAATCCGTCATCCTGGTTAGAGTAGGCTATATATATATAAGTACAAATGATTTAAACCTTAGAGATGCAGGATTAACATAAGAATCTTATTGGGATCCTCTGAGGTAATTTAAGATTGCCTAACACTTTTCTTGTTCAATAAACACCGGGTCATAAATACTAAAACAATCTTCTGTCACTTGAGTTTCCAGGCAGTATAAATGTCAAGCTTTTCTTATATAGATAAAATAGTAGCCCGGTAAATTACATTAAATGACACTGAATTACCACTGGGAGGAAGGTGATGACGGACTTTGGGTAGTTTACCGGTGCCGTGGCATTGCAAATGGTTAAAAAATAAAGGGAGGAGCGACGGCAGAGAGGGAGCTTTTATTGAAACTCTTATGTGTCATTTCGACGCACGACAGCACTAACTACACGTGATGGATATGCCCACTTTCCCAATGGAAAGGTAAAGGGACCGGATTGCGGAGAAGTCCTGGGAGCAAACAGGACATCTGATCGCCACATATATTCCAGTGCAGTCCAGGTACATAAACGGCCGACGATTATACGTTTAAAATGCTTAATGGCAGAAGACTCGGAGTTAAATGGTCGATCAGGATGCGTAATTGCCACCTTAATGACCCAGAGTAGAAGACGTGTGTTATTAAATCAGACCTGGCGACTCTGGGACTCTATGTTCAGATGGTTTTGGATACTGAATACTGAAATTTAGAGATGCGTTTACCTCCATGCATGCGCTCATCTGTAGCCTACATTGTGTTTAAATGACGGTTATGTACATATCGACCATTAATAATATTTGCGCCGACAGATCATTTAATGTATATATGTTTTTGATCGCATGGGATCTCGTGAAACGTGTTGCTTGTCCGGATGTCCACATTACGTAAATGAAAGGTAGCGATCGGCAGATGTATGGAGAGATGTAAAATGTGATCACGAATGGAAATGGTGCATGTTGTCTACTTCTGAACCTAGACACGTAGTCCGTATGTCATTATTGAGAAATTTGGCTTTATATGTCATTCGCTTGTTGTGGACTACTTGTTGACATGAGTGTGCAAACGACCGCACAACAATTCACGTATCAGTACCTAATTGATGCTGTTTAACGCGGTAACCAAGCAGTTATACGTAGCGTAAACAATTTACTTTTTATTATAATATATACCTTACGGGTGGAAGTGAACCAGGCAGAATGAGTGAGGAAGCAGTGTTTCGGGAGATTTGGCCGTTTTTAAGTATTGTACGCTGATGGTTGAACGTGGCATCGCAGATTGCTTGCAGGGTGGGCGGAAATCACAGGTGTGATGCGCGGAGCGCCGGCGGTGCCCTCGGGAAGGACCTGGGAGGCTGCAGAAAATAGCACGCAAATGCAATAGTTTTCCGATATTAAAGGATTGAGAAAATGAAAAATCTTAAATCTTAGATCTGCGAACCATTTTGATTAGGTTAAAACAACGTTGCGGGCGGCTTGGGTGTGTTTTTGTGTATTTAAGGCGATATGCTTCGCTGTGGTGTCAATGGTTAATACAATAATGAAAACACAATTCTTCAGTCGTCCTATTCGTCGCATGGCGAACAGTGTTAAAATCTGTGGTTATACAGCAGCTGTAGTTCACATTTAGACACCCTAAGGGTGTATTTTTTTCAGAATTTCTAAAAGTCGGTGAAATACATTTATATAATTCGAACTAACATCCAAGAGATCATGTCTTTTCTTCAAACTTTGCTCAAGCTCCTAATTTTTGTTAAAAAACAATGATTCTGTTTTGCTGGATATTTTGAAATTATATCATCTTCCTTATTTGTTCCTCTTTTCTGAACAGCAGAAGGTGGGGGTTTGATTTAATTAAGGATTGAGCTATTTGGACTTAAAACCATCGGATTCCAGTATCCTACAGTGGAACAGAGGATGTTCCTATGTAACCCAACCTCTATGTTCACCTGAAAACATGTTCTGGGTGGACCTGAAACCCGAAAGCACCGGAGGAATATCATAACTACGCACCGCACCCGGACGGTGTGGGGTACAGCTGAGATCCCCTCTGACGAATTTGCCCCTCCAGGATAACTCCAAGACACTGAAGGCAGGGGGTGGGGGGGGGGGGCACCACTGTCGAGACTCCCAGCATGAGGACGGCGGACTCCTGGGCAGGCGTGTGACCCCTGCAGGCCTGAGGAGGAAGTGCACCCCGCAGTCGGCAGCATGGTGATGTCACAGGGCACCTATACCTTCCTGGCATGCTTTGCCGGGTTCTGGCTGGTGTGGGCCTTCATCGTGGTGCTCTGCTGCTTCTGCGGCGTCCTGCAGCGGCGACTGAAGCGGCGCCGTGAGGAGCGACAGCGGGAGCGCTGCCTGCGCACGCTGGAGATGGAGCCCCTGGAGTGCCGTGCGGAGCCCCCCCAGTTTGGCCCACCCCAGATCCTGCCGGTGCCTGTGCCGGTCCCCCACTCCATGGTGCCTAGCACCTGGTCCAGCCCTCAAGGTACAGTTGGCCACCCCGTTCTCTCTGTGACCATCTCCTGCACCTTCCCCTCCACATCCATCCTCGTAATGTGAAGGTTCCCATGACGACGGTCGTCTGTCCCATGATGTGACCCCAGTCTTATTCACTCAGCTAAACTGTCCGTCTCCTCGGTTCGTGGTTCAGGTGCAATGTTGGTTTGCAAGCTGTTTAGAGGACTCTACAGGAAGTTTATGAGAACAGCTGGTCCGCTCTTTAGGATCTGAGCTAGAAGCATTGAGGAGGAAAGAGACAGCAGAGGCGCGGTAGCGTCAGGGTCCTAAAGCCAGTGGCACGGAGCCTGTCGGCACGGCTCAGACCCTTGTCCAGCTGTGGGGACGAACTATGCCACCATGTGAATGTCAATGCGACTCATGAAACAGGGTGTCAGTCCAGCATGAGGACAAGCCACAGTAAAATGGGCTGTCAATAATAAGTTCACATTTAGTCATTATGACTGGGAACGAGAACTATCTGGGATATGCAATTTAAGGAGCTCATCATCTGCTTGGTAGTTTTGATCTGAATTTAAATATATCCCCGTGCAAAGGTGGGACCTTCGTCTTGTGATAGATACAGGAGCAGGCGCACAGCACGGCCCCGAAGAGGTTAGAGCGCGCGGTTAAGCGCTAGCTACGATCGGTTAGCAGCGGGGCTGGCTGGTAACCGGGCAACGGGTCAGGAGGAAAACCCAGGGTGACACCGGAGACGGCAGCTAGTACGCAGATCACTGAGCCATGTGAGGAGGGGGCGTCCGCTTTGGTTCCCCCAAGATGGAGCAAGTCCCTCAATGAGAAAACGTAACGTAAAACGTATACGTAACGTATAACGTAAAAACGCTCAGTGACGAACGTCAGTCAGGTTCTGATCTAAGGTGCGGTTCTCCAAGTGTCTGTGTGTTCACATATAGGTGGTGATTATTCATGATTATACAAGCTACGATAAATGTCAAAATCTGTATTATTAATGTATTCTGTATTTTACCTTTGTATTATAAAGTACTTCCCAGTGCTTTTCCTTTTAGAACCGTTTTCTGGACACCATCCATCACCTCACAGCTGTTACTGCCCTGTCAGGGGTGTCCTTGAATAGCGTATGCGGTCCTAGATATAATCCTTTTCCTGGGGGCACGTCGGGGGCACGTCGGGGACACTGCATGCGCTGACCCATCCCTCCCGGTGGTCCCTGTGCCGCCCGTAATTTCAAAGTAAATACCAGTCCCTTATACCGTTCAGTGGGATGTCACATGGGGCAACGTTCTGGTTGGCCCGCTGGGATCTGGCAGGCTGTGCTGGGCAGTTTGAGGTTGATTTTACGCCAACAGCTGGCTGAGGAGCTGTGTATTCTTCTTGGTTTTTTTTTGTGCGGGGCGGGGTGGGGGTGGTGTTTGGTTACCTGTCACCTGCTCTCAAGTGGGTAGGGAACAGCCTGAAGTGGGTTTTTCTCGCTCAGGCGGGGCTGGGCGCTGGAACACCCAGACTGAGATCATGCATGTTTTGCAGCCAGCTCTGGGCGGCGTCGAGGTCAGTGTACCGCGGTCCTACGGTGTCCACTTCCTACCTGCTAATCCCTCCACATGCCAGAGCAGAAAAGGCTGCTGTCTTCTTTCGGACAGATTTCGTCCCAGATTCCCTCTGTGGGGGTGCTCGTCAGTTTATGCTCCGGAATGTTTTAAACGCCGAAGGCCAAAGATTCGGAAGCTGTAACTGAGGTTTATTATTTTCTCTCCCCGTCTTTTTTTATGTCAGTTTCATTACACAAATAGAAAAAAAAAACTCAAGCTATTAGGGGCTACTTTTAATTATGTTTAAGATCATACCCACATAAATGTTAGACAACCAAAAAGCATCAATGATCACAAAGGGTCATTCTAAAAGGCGTACTTTTTATGAAATGAAGGTGTAGATTTATGCTTAATTGTATTATAAGAAAAATTATTTGGGCTCACTTGATGGACTAGGCTGTCAGTGCACTGCTTTAACTTATTATATATTTAACATTAACATAAAATATTAACATATTTCAGCACCAGGGTCTCTACTTGCATTTTTAAATACATGTTGTTGTTTTTATAGCTGAGCTTAAGTGGCTAAGCTGGTCACCCATTTAAACATTTTTATTATCATTTTAATGTTATGTAAAGACATGATTATCGTTTTCACAAAGCCAAGTCTCTTAAATATAGCTGTTGAGTGGCTCCTAGCTATTGAGGCTTGCCCCTTTTACTCTCTGTTTTTATCTCATGTAATTGCTCCAATCAGTGCCCCAGAAGGTTCTAGAATTCGCTTGGCAGGCCGTCCAACAAAATAACATTCATTTGTTCTTATTTTACTGTGCTTTGGCACTGATAATTAGCTTGCAGCATGCAGAGGTGCAACTGGCCACTAGGGGGGTGGAATTCTATTTAGGAATAATGTGGGAATTCTCCGATTCCCGCCGTAGGGTGGGTCAGGTGGGCGTCTGGGCCCCCCCTCAGGTGAAGATGATTGGTGCGCTCCTTTGCCATAAGGGTCACATGATCTATGTGGAGCTGGGAAGCGGAATCAACGCAGCGGCGTGACGCTCAAACCCATCTGCCCGCACGTCTTCCAAGAAAACGCAGATAAAGACTGTTACATCACCCTGCCCCGAGGAGAAGCTTAATCGAGTTTGTCATGCATATGTGTAAATAATGCGCTGACCAAATCACCGCAACAAGGCAATGTTTACAATCTGCTGTATCCTGTCGTCTCTCCAGCTGATGTTCAACGGATCAGCAAATGTTTACATTTTATCAGGTTATTACTGTAGTAATTACTGTGAGCTCTTTTTAAAGCATAGTCACTGTTTATTTTAGGTCAGTCTTCATATTCAGTTCCTCGTCCTTGCGGTCTGGGCCCTTTCTTCACTTTGTTGTTCAGCCGTTGATATTTTGGTCGTAAATAAAAAAATCTTGGTGCCCCGATAAACCTCGAGCGTCATCATAATTATACACAGGGCTCATCCACACGATCTGTCCTGCGTCTGCCCTGCGTGGATGGATCACACAGAGGTTTTGAAAGGAATTTAAAAGGCACCAAAAAAAAAAAAAATGGTGTTTGGTGATTAACTATCGATGAATCATCCTCTCGGAGCAGGATGATTTGATTCTGATGTGGGCGAGATTGAGATGCATTCAGTCACATGAATACAGGGATCGGAAATTCAGCTGGGAGAATTAAATGCTAGAAAGTAATTCACAGGACGCTAACTTCTGTTATTGCTCGGCATGCATTTATTATGACGTGAGGGATTGGGGGGTGGAAGCCTTGTTAAGATTAGGATTTACAGAATTATGGGTTCCTTCTAGGAGTTTATATGGGGGCGGGGCCACAGGGATATTGACCCCAGCTGATTGGCCCCTGGAGTATCCCTCCTATGTCACTCACCGATTCAAAACATATCATTGGTTAATGATGATGTTGGCCCCTTTGCATGAATCACGGCCCCTGTTATGTGCACCTCCTTAAGAAAAATCCTAGATTTGCTCTTGGCGACTTCTGAAGCTACCGGTTCTGTTGTTATGCGAGCTCCATGCTATTTCCGTCTGTCCTCAGAAGCAGATGTTTTTGGGAAGCCGCCGTGTTACGAGGAGGCCGTGCAGATGGAGGACCCCCCTCCCCCATACAGCGAGGTCCTGGCCGACAGCCGGGGAGGGACGTACACCAAACCGCCGTCCGGGACGTCCCGGAAGCCCCAGGACTCGGAGACGAGCAAGGCGGCGCCGGACGTGGCATTCCCGGAGCGCGGCTACTCCACCCTCATCCACCTGCCGGCTCATGTGCACGAGCGCTGGGACTCCCTGGGCCGCATGCTGTCCACCATGGACCTGAACTGCAGTAACCAGGCCTCTGAGGCCCAAGCCTCGGCCTACACCACCCTACCCCGGGGAGGGCGGACCAACGTGGAGCTGGGGCTTCACCGACCCCGGCTGGACGACACCTGTGCCCTGCCCACCGCCTTCCCCGTGTTCGGCAGGAGCACTGCCGTTTAAGTCAACTCCCCTCCCTTCAAGACTGCCGCTCGCTGTTTATTTTCAGCTCCGGCCTCCTGAAAGGTGTGAGCACATCTCAGCGTTCTCCTGGAAACGCTGCCTCAACATGGCGAGAAAGGGGCGGGGAGGGAGCCGCCGGAAGCGGGACTCATCGCCGGTGCGTCGTCCCGACGACGAGCATCCTTTACGGCCTGCTCCCGTTGCCATGGCGCCAAACGCACTTAGTGTAACGACTAACTATTCGAAAACTGGCACCTGGAAGCGCTGACCTCATAGGGCCTGCAGGTTTGCTGCAAGTTTTTGCCGTGAATATCAATGGCTCACTGGTTTTTCTGGGCTGTTTAATATCTTCAAGGGCCTGATTTGTTTATTTTTCCTGTTTTTATTTTCCCCAGAGGACATCTGACTCGAGTGACTGTGGAGTGTCAGTCAGCATATTGCTCGCTGTGAGAACTGAAGGCCACGCTTCTCCACAGCCACATTCCTTCCAGTAATCAAGCTGATCTTTATTTATTTATTCATTTTTAGAAAAAGAAGTAGCTGACAGTGAGTGCTTTTTACATTCTTTTTTTTCCATCCATGTCTATAATACCTCTGAAGATTTTGTCTGGTGACTGCATGGATTATAATTAATGAAGTTAACCCATGCCAAGTTTCTTCTTGTTGCTCAACAAATGACCGTCGAGGGTGACTTTTATTTTGTCCTAAAAAAGATCCATAGCGGGGAACTCACTATATTTAACCTGCTTCTAATATTGCTGTTCAGGAAACAGATTTACCTTTACTTTTTGTATGTGTGGTGGAGATCTCAGCCTTACATTGCCATGGGATTCGAAGGACCAGTTGACCTGTTTGGGAATTATACGGGATTTTGCCAGTCCTACCTGGTGTGGGTTTTCACATTGAAGGAGAGGGTGTAGATGGGATCCCTCACTCTTGTTGGAATAGATCCACTCACACTGCTGACTCATTTCCTAGGATCTAGTCCCCCCAATGTACTGAATGAAGACTGATTTAGAACCTGTAAAGTGTGTCTTTCAGTAGTGATTTTTCCAAATGATTTCTGTGTGTCATTTTATTTTCGTATTCATTCCCGTGTTAAGAACGAAGAGCCTCAACTATATTCCAGAAATCCACTGTGGTCATCTAAAGCAACATTTTTACCAAAATGGGCAATTATGAGTGAATTATATTAACGTATTTTTTTAAAGAGCGACTATCACGCGGCTTTAAGTGCTCTGACAGCTTCCCACTATCAGATTTTTGTATTGCACTCATCTGTGGTTCTGCATGTGCAATGTGAAATAGACTATTTATTCTATTGGTTTTTTTGTTTTTTAATGAATGGTTTTAGCCAGTGAGTGCGTGGCAAGCTTCGCCTCGCTTAATGCAGCGCCGTGTGCTGGTTTAGAGAAGTTTTCAAATCGGTGAATTTATTTGTTTTACCTCGATATTATTTGTTTTACCAGTTCGCGTGCCACAGCTTTATATGAAGACAATCGCTTTTAGCCCGTTTGCTGTTTCGTTATACAGCGTTTATCTTCTTTTTTTACGCATATATTTTTATATAAATGGCTGCAGCATTTGATTTTGCTTGGGGACGCATCACATCTCCCCCTTCGATTTCAGCGCAGCGGAAGTGCTTCTCGCGCCATAAAGGACGGACTCTATCGGCGTCCCGCTCGCGGTCTATCTCGTCACAGATGTTGCCTGGCAACATAGCGGCAGTGCGACCCGCCGGCTTCGATGGGAGCCGTGAAGACGCTCTTTCGGCGAAGATGTGTAGGGTGGGAGAGTCACGGGCGGGTTTTACCGTGCCAAAATGTTTACTAGGAACACTGGTACTGCTTTTCCATTTGGATTTTCTCAAACGTAGAGTCAGATGCAAGATAAATGCATTTTTATATTTGTATATAAGCAGCGAATTTTAAACTGTGTTCAGACGTAACAGGTGACCTAGAAGGGCAAAGTGACGTCATAGCCGAAACGGCATGACTTTTACTGTCTCATAATCCATCACCGCGTCGAATCACACGAACCGTGAAGCCGATGCTGTTTTACAGGTGCTCTGTGCGTGATCTGTGACACATCGTGTGGTCAGCTGTAGGTTCCATAGCCATGAATAACGTACTATGTTGACAAGAAACCTCCTTGGGCCAGGCCTGTAAAGTGCATACTCTGTGCCAGAGTCTCTCATAATAAAAGACTATATAAATAAAATGGAGAATAGGTGCTTCCTTGCTGCTGATGATCTTCATACATATTGATTTGCAATGTACAGCATGGTCATATTTCTCTCTGCCTTTTAACCATGATGAGCTGTTCAGTGGGTGCAGACCTGCAGAAGGTTCTGAAGACACCGAAGATGTACCACAAGGCTGGGGTTGGAGATGTTTTATGTAACCTTGTGGTTCTCTGGTTATAACGAGAGCCTGGGCGTTTTATTTTGTGAGTGAAGAGTGAAAACTCTGAAACTCGCATGGAGTTTTTTTAACGTTCTTTAATAACATACATGAGGATGGAGCAATTAACAGAAATAAAAATAAAGTCTTGTGCTTGTTTTGAAGAGGAGAGGGTGGCAAGCAGATGAAATCAAGCAGAGAGAGAAGCCATAGAAGAAAGTATGGAAAAAGAAAGACAAGAATTCGCAAAGGCAGAGTCGGGGAGGCTGAGGATTCCGAGCAGCATGACAGAGGAAGAGCGTAAACTTTAAAAGATGTTTAAAAGGTGTGGACAGACACTGAAACCATGTCAGGAGGTCCGTGGTTATTGTTAAAGATGCCGGGTGGTTCAAAATCAGATTTTCTGGGGAACACGCAAGCCAGTCAATCACTAACGGCAAAATATTATCATCATTGAATTATTGAATCGCGAGTCCAAAAGTGTCCCTTGACTGAATCTAGTCCACGATTATAAATAATGTCGCCACCGTTAATCGGCGTTAGATTAGTAATCCTAAAATCACGGTTATTTACACATCTATACTACACACAGATCACGTAGGTCAGTCTTATTGCTTGTTCGGCTACAAGGCCTCTCCATTGCCCTTCTTTTTGGTGGGGGGAGCTCAGTGTTGAGGCCTCGGATAAGTCAGTAGGTTTCCTTGGGCTGGACAGAAAATGGAAGACAACAAACCTTTACAGAGTATTTGCCATTAGAGTAATATTCGAGGATTTATCTGTTTTTTTTTTGTGTGGTTTTTTTTGTGAAGTTGTCGAGTCTTTGAGATGTAACAGTTCTTGCCAGGTAACATTCAGCTTTATGTTGCTATGTTGTATTTATGAAGTCACACCACTGCAGGTGGGAATGAAGAGTCGCCTTGAAAAATAGCAGTATTTATAAAAAGTCTTTTTTTTCTGTCAGAAAAGAGTCTAAAATAAAGCAGTCTAATGGGTCAGTTGTAGTCCGGTGATGCCGGTGGGTTCACAAAGCAGGTCGTTTTTGTCAGCAGGAGTGCCCAGTAAAATCTCCCCAAATCATTGAACGTTTAGAAGACAGAAGGACTAGACAGGAACACGACCACCACTAAGTAAAACTTCTCTAAGTCTAATGATTAATACGCACATTTAATAGGTAGTCTGAATCCACAAACTTTGGTCTTTGAAATAGGGAAACTTTAGTAAGGAAAACTTTTTATAAATTTACTAGCGAAGCAGTATATTGCTGTAAGTATTGTTTGTCTATTTTCACTTAACCAGGCATTTTTTGGGGGATGGGAAAGGATCTTCTGTCAGTTTCCATTCATGTACCTTCACTAAGGGCCAGTTTTCCTGAATACACAGATTCCCTAATCTGAGGAAAACTAGCTATTACCCCTTAGGTGGAAACCTGCAACTAAGGCAGAATTAAAGTAGACAAAATCAGTTGTCTCAGTCATGTACACTTGGGATATTGGGGGCTATTGGGCAAGATCTGGACCTGTGTGAGGTAAAAGGTATGAACGAGGCCACAGATTGGAACAGGACCAGGTTTGACCCAGAGAAAACCAGCTGAATGAGGACTGGTGCATCAATGCTCCAGTTTACACTTGCATGGTACAGCGAGTCTGTCTGCAGCCCGACAAGAAGCAGCACGCACTGTGAGATGGTGAAAATCACCTCTGAGCTGTCCTCAGCATGCCCAAAACAAACGGGGAATAATTACGAGGAGCCCAAGCAAAAAAAAAGAAAAACTCATTTGCATCTTTAACAATAACCCCAAATCCCTTCACTGCTTTTTAAGTTCCTTTTAGAAACTTTTTTTTTTTAACTTTTTTTTTTTATTTTAATGCAAGACTAATTAATTGTTACACGGTTAAGTTTCTTGAAGGCGAGTCTCTTCTACCTCCCTCTTCCAGTCTGGCACCATTTTAGTCGTCATCTTCCACCACGGGGTCTGTGTCCCAGCAAGTTATGTCAATCTCTGAGAGAAGCCGTTATGGGGGGAGGTCGTTAACATCCATATTTAACACTAGAAAGTCCTCTATTTCTGTATTTCACAACGTAACTTACTGAGGAAACGTTTCTTACACAACGACAGAATTGCTGCCTAAAGGTACGAGATCGCACTTCCACTTAAAAATATGTAATATAAGCACAGGGCAGTTTCACTACCTCCAGGACATCCTGTCGCGCTCTGAAAACCTCGGGGCCAAGCTAATCTGATCAGGACAGAGATAGATTTGAATTTGCAAAGCAAGATTTTCCCTTTTAAAGCCCTTACCTGGCGGTTTGTTATAAAACACTGGCATCGGAGTGGCTTTGGCAGAGCAGTCTTCCGATTGGGCGAACTCCTCCTCCTGTGATTGGCTGAAGTAACCCTCGCTCGCCTGTAGAAACACCAACAAAAATCTATCCAGTTCCTCCAAATGTACAGGATGTGCAGCCAAAACAGAGAACACACTGCTTTATTGGGTCAGCTATTTTGTATTATACTGCCTTTGTCTCGATTTTTAGAGGAACTTCCTTTTAATTCCAATAATCAAGCACTGTATGTTTCCGCATTTATTAATGTTCCTTGAAAATTGCTGCCATCTAGTGGCGAATTTAAAGAACGCATCCCATTAGCAGAAATCCAGGTAGAATTGAACCTGGAGGTATGCATAGCGATCGTGAGCTAATTTAAAGGCTTTGTGTTTCTTCTGTGTGGATGACTGGATGAAGTGTTATCTGCCACATTTATACAACAAAAAGCTGTCCGCAAAATAAATAAATGTAAAGAAGAAAGACAACAAAAATGTGTATATTTGCGGGCGTACGATAAATGTTTTAACCTGCAAAGAAGATGAGCACAAGCACATGATCAGTAAGTGCAGTTAGGGCTGCATAGTGCTGTCTGCTAATATTAGAAGCTAAATTATTATTCTGTAATCATGCAGTGAAAGGCACTGTATAGAATGTGGAATGGCAATTTAATATGTCTACAAATAGTAACCTCATTATATAGATGATGACTAGCTAAAGACAGTGTTAGCAGAGCTGTCCCATTATGAGATGGTGCAGCTGGTCAGGGTGCTGACCTGGGTGCTCTCTTTGAGCAACGTGTCCCCGTTGGTCATGAGCAGTTGACCATCATCCAGCTCTTGGCTGTCAGAGCCGCCGGCCTGCACCAGCGTTTGCTGGTAGCTGAGGCCCATCTCGTGTGGGCCCCCCAGGTCCACCTGGTGAGCCGGGTCATCCATCCCATCCGGGCCCTGGCAGAAGGAGGCGGGGGGCTCAGGCAGGTCATCAAAGTCGAGGAGCGGCTGAGGGAGTCCGGCACTGACATCGGCCGGCGCCGCCTCCACCGGGTCCCCCATCAGGTCCATGAGGTGGGCTGCCTGGGAGGGTGCCATGGCAGGGGTGGGACCCGCTGACTCCCATAGGTCCAGCAGGCTGTCTGTCTCCTGCTGGGGCGGGGCGTCAGGCGGCACCCCGAAGTCTGAGTGGTTGTCAGGCGTCTCTCTGGCCAATGGGGCCACACTCTGAACAGGTTTGGCGGGGGCCGACTCTTGCACAGGGGTGCGCTGCTCGGGCTCAGGGTCTGGTGCGGAGTGGAGAGGGCAACGGAGAAACAACCAGAAATACGGCTGACTTCAGTATTGTTATGCTACCATTTGTGAATTCAATCAATGTCAATTATACTTTGGTGTGCTTCCATATTTACATTTTATTTATTTAGCAAATCCTTTCGTCCAAAGCAACATACATTTTTGTTGTTGTTGAGAAAGCAGGGTCAGCCAGTCCCTGGAGTAACTGGGGTAAAGGGTCTTGCTCAAGGACCCAACAGTGAATTGTGCCAACCAGGGGATTTGAACCTTCAACCTTCTGATTATAGGCATAGCATTCCTCCCGCACCGGACAAGAGTATTCAGCCTCTATGGGCAACTTCAGAGACCCTATTCACAATGAAAAAATGGGAATCGGGAGGACAGAATGGCCCGGTGACCTTACCCCATTCGTTTTGGTAGGTGTCCTCCTCCTGGATGGGCGTGGTGACGATGGTGGGGATGGGTGTAGGCGAGAGGCCCTCCATGGCACGCTCTGAGGACCCTTCTGCTGAGTTTTCTGGTGGAGCGGGTCAGGGAGGAGGAGAGGTCTTCACTATAAGGCACATGGAAGGGCACCTCCACAGCAACTGTACAAAACTGCTCCCAGACACGGCGGCGCGGTCACATGACAGCTGTGTGGCTCGCCTCCCCGTGTGCATCCAGGCTGGTTCTCCTTGTCCCAGACTGTCCCCGCCCACTTGTTACAGGAGCGGTCCAGGATGGCCCACAGGTCACCGACACCATCTTGCAGTGGACTCGCCTTCCCGAGCATGACCCCAAACACATCCTGTGCGTCTGATTTCCATGTCTAATCGAATCAGTGGTGTCGCCCCCTCCAGGCAGAGGACAGCAACACACTCACAGGTCATCCAGATGCGAGGGGGTTAGTGTCCGTCGAGATACATGACCGTATAAAGGCAGAGGGGTCGTAGGTGGAGCGACAGCTGACCCTAGGACTACTGGCTGTAATGAGTACAGCATAGTCTTTTCTTTAGACCACACCTTCCCAGCAATGAAGCAAAATTAAATATAAATTAAAAAGCAGTGAGTCGAATTTGACACGACGACAGACACGGACAAGGTTTCATATCAGGCGAGCATCGGACACACACTGAGCGGGAGCATGAGGGCCACATGCTAAAGGAGCATTAGCGACCCCTCTGAGCCGTGGACCAGCAACCCGGTGACATCACAGATGCCTTGTTTTCTGCAGGGTCTGCAAGCCTGTTGAGTCAGAGTGAATCCAGTTACCCTACTGACCTACTGAGACCTAGTACTACAGTCTGTGGACGGGGTAACAGGGGGTTTTCAGCAGAGAAGCAAGATCCTAGTTGGGGGTGGGGGTGAGTAGGCTGGTCTGGGCACTATCTCCCTGCAGTGTGCCCTCCGGCATCTGGGGAGGGGGACCTCAGTACCTACCAGGTGGACCTGGCTGCAACCG